ATAAAAGGACTCAAGTTTCAACATCAGATCACTCCTGATGAAGACACTAGACTGAAGTATATAAGAACTCAAGTTTCAACATCAGATCACTTTTGATGAAGACACTAGACTGTAGTATATAAGAACTCAAGTTTCAACATCAGATCACTCCTGATGAAGACACTAGACTGGAGTATATAAAACTCAAGTTTCAACATCAGATCACTCCTGATGAAGACACTAGACTGGAGTATATAAGAACTCAAGTTTCAACATCAGATCACTCCTGATGAAGACACTAGACTGGAGTATATAAGAACTCAAGTTTCAACATCAGATCACTCCTGATGAAGACACTAGACTGGAGTATATAAGAACTCAAGTTTCAACATCAGATCACTTTTGATGAAGACACTAGACTGGAGTATATAAGAACTCAAGTTTCAACATCAGATCACTTCTGATGAAGACACTAGACTGGAGTATATAAGGACTCAAGTTTCAACATCATATCACTCTTGATGAAGACACTAGACTGGAGTATATAAGAACTCAAGTTTCCACATCAGATCACTCCTGATGAAGACACTAGACTGGAGTTTATAAGAACTCAAGTTTCAACATCAGATCACTCCTGATGAAGACACTAGACTGGAGTATATAAGGACTCAAGTTTTAACATCAGATCACTCCTGATGAAGACACTAGACTGGAGTTTATAAGAACTCAAGTTTCAACATCAGATCACTCCTGATGAAGACACTAGACTGGAGTTTATAAGAACTCAAGTTTTAACATCAGATCACTCCTGATGAAGACACTAGACTGGAGTTTATAAGAACTCAAGTTTTAACATCAGATCACTCCTGATGAAGACACTAGACTGGAGTATATAAGAACTCAAGTTTCAACATCAGATCACTTCTGATGAACACACTAGACTGAAGTATATAAGAACTCAAATTTCAACATTAGATCACTCCTGATGAAGACACAAGACTGGAGTATATAAGGATTCAAGTTTCAACATTAGACCCCTCCATTTGATCACACTTTGACTGAAGTTTACAAAAATATAGAAAAAAGATATATTTATCTACAAGTTGCTTACCAAGGCGTTTGGCACGCCAGTCTTTGCAGAGCCACCCCCTCCAGCTACGATGAAATGATTCGTATCCAATACATTCACTGTGTACAAAGGAAAGTTTGTCTTTACTAACGTGACAGCACTCATGATCAGATCTTTAACAAATGAACAACATTTTATTGAATGAATTTTGAGTTAAAAGTGGCAAATCTTGTCCAAGAATTATATGTTTATTTTCTATCTTTTTATGTACGTCCGCTGACCTTTAGTGAGTGGAGTCACAGAACACGTTCGATGACAATGACAACACGTCATCATTGAATAATATTAAAAATTTAGTAATAAAATACAGTGATGAAATACTACAAAATTGAAAATGGTGCTAAATAGGGTCAAAAACGTACACCAATAAGCATGGCGGACATTACGACGTGTATAAATGTAATGAATATAGCCAGAAAACGACGTTTTTGTCTGCAAAAACGAATAATAATAGTAACCATTAGCAACCACGTAAGCACCTGTGGGTGGATGCCGTGGATGCGGGCTATGAACGCCAACACTAAAAACAATACGTCAAAAGGACAAAGTCATAAGATTGTCCTGATAAAATCTAGACTTTCTGGCAATGTTTTCATCTCAAACTCACTGGGAAATACCACAAAATAATTTTAGAAATCCATCACTTGGACCAAATAATACGATTTACGGGCCTAGTCGCGGTTTGCGACCTGTTAAAAGTAGAAAAATGGATGAAAGCGAAAAGAAGAAAGCACCGACCGTACCACCAAGACCACCAAATCCAAGAGATAGTCGAAATGCTTATTCAAATTATGGTAGGAAAATTGTTTACTTTATTTTAACGTAGGGAAAAGATGCACTTAAATGTAGACGTAGACTGGCCTGGCTGAAAGCAAATTTATGGCAAAATATTTGGATTTTTTATGTTGTGAAGACAAAGAGAATTGCAATTGATATTATCCGTATCATATCGTAAATTCTGTTGTTTTTTTGTAGGCTATGGAGGTAATTATGGCGCTTTTAACTCTGGCTACGTCAATCCATATTCTGGTAAAAATATTTTTTAGAAATATCTCGTCGTTAGTCAGTAATTTGACACAATTATCCCATTGTTTACAATAGGTATGTATGGCAATGGATATGCGGGATTTAATGGATACGGAGGGTATAACTCGTACAATAGTATGTATGGAGGGGGATATGGTTCTGACAGATATGGTTACAGTAATAATTCTTCAAATTCATTTGTTGAACAAGCTGAACAAAATTCGCAAATAGCATTTGACTCTGTACATTCAATTGTTCGAGCGTTTGGCTCAATAGCTATGATGTTAGAATCTACATTTTTTGCTGTGCATAGCTCATTTCGTGCCGTACTTGGAGTGGCAGACCATTTTACCCGATTACGAGAAAATCTTGTTCAAATTGTTGGCGAAAACTTTGTTATAAAGTGGGTACGGAACATTTTTCGAAAGATCATGGTTCTGATTGGCCTACGTAATGCGAATAGCGTGGAAGAGGTCTGGAACGAGATCAAGTTGATAACTAAGGACCATAGGGTTAAACAGGGTCAAGCGTGGAAATCATGGCCTTTGTTGTTATTCTTCGGTGTTGTCTTGGGGACACCATGGTTGATATGGAGAATATTGTCATCACTAGGGGATAACAATGTCAACGATTGGATTACAGGTAGTAAAATCACACTCCTTCTTATTGAAAACTAAAGAAACACTGTACGTCAAAAAACTCTAGCCTAATCTTAACAAACAAATTCATCATTTCAATACTATCTTTAACTTGTAAATACTTAACACCTCTAATCACTACATAATTGTAAATAGATTTCCGTTTCCATCCCTTTTGTTTATACACATGTCTTGCATCAGATTTCTTTATATATTAACTCCATTCAAATATTCATTCATTATATCGCACTGAAGATGGCATAAGTTTGCCGAAACATGTCTGCAAACATTAATATAAAAAAAGTTGTCGTTTATGTTAAATGCATCATTTCAACCGTGCCATTATGAAATTATAGTAAAATCAAATTAAACTCCTTTTCATTGGTTCTACGTCAAATTGGGCTTTTTTGCCAGTATAATGAATGAAGCAACTTTAAGTTACAAGTGGAGCTTCTGTGTTCTGTGTGTAAAGTTTGAATGAACCTCATCAGCACAGCAATCTAGCCTGCGTACACTTCAGTTTACAATTTACATTTTTTCAGGTGAAGGGGAACATGTTTTGGGAGAAGTTTTATACGATTTTGTGGCTGAAAGGGATGATGAACTTTCTATTACTGCTGGTGAATGCTTGAGAATAGCACCAAAACAAAAACAGCCAAGGATAAGAGGTTGGTTATTGGCTACAGTTGATGGGAACACCAAAGGAATAGTACCAGCCAATTATATCAAGGTATTTTGAAACTCTTTATTGTTCTTGCTGTTTATGCATGAAAACCATTGAACTAAAATACACGGAACGCTATCTGAAGCAAATAATTGAAGCCAAATCTTACACCCAGACACGCGTGTTTAATGTTTTGAGATTCTCTCGTGGAGTGAAAATTGATTCTTTACACATGCTTGTCTGGGTGTGAGATTTGGCTTCAAAAAATTACTAGGCTTTTCTATTACAGGTAGCGTTCCATGTATGAAAACCAAAAATTTGTCAATATTTTTACAGATTTTGGGTTTCAACCGGGGTAGTAAAGCCATGTCATCTAATGATGTTCAAAAGACCACAGACAGCTCACAGACAAATGAAATAAACGGAAATTCATCAGAGCCTTCAAGAGCTACAGACTTTGAGGAGGTTTACGATGAAACACTAATAAACAATACCGAGCAAGATTATAATGGACTTTATAATCATGCCAAGCAAAGTTTAGTTGATATTGCAAAGGATCCCCTCGACTCTGATAGTTAGTATATTTACAAAGTCAATGGACTCTTTTTGCTTTCACTCAGTTCCAATGCTTTGTGTAATTTTTTTCGTCAAAACTCACCACTTTGCCGACTGCTAGGATAGATCTCACAAACATTTGAAATGTTGTAATTTCTATCAAAAATGAGGAAAAGTTTTTTTAGGAATTTTTCAAATTTCCTCTTATCAAAGACAAGTTAATGAAAATTACATTAGATTTCACAGGGCCACACTCATATGACTGCCACAAAAGATTAGATCTTTTAAATTACAATAAATACCTCTAAGAAATCAATTCTCTATCTCTATATAAATTAATATAATAAATAGCTTTATGTATTGTTTTACCAAAATTATGATTTTGATTGTCAGCTATGTGCCATTGATCATTATTAATATGCGTTTGAATAAGGATTGAAATTGGATTGAAATTTTATGGACTGAAATTACTTGGCAAATTTAGCCAACATCAATGCTCCCACAATCCCAGCATCACCTCCAAAAGTACTGGGCCGAATGTAATTCTTCAAACCATCATTGGTCAAAAGCTCACCAACATCAACATAACCCCCATTAAGAGTTTTGAAATTCTTTCGACAAATATCGAACAGCACGGCTCGTGCCATCACACCTCCGCCCAACACAATAAAATCGGGTGAAACCGTATACAAAAGATTTACACACAACTGACCGAGATAGAATCCAGCAATCTCCCATACAGGATGAACATCAAGTAAACTATGAAGTTGCGAAGGATGGATTCCAGCCCTTTCGGCAAGAGCTGTTGAGCATAACATCCCTTCGATGCAATTACCATGAAAAGGACAACATCCACTATAGTCGTCATCTGACTTTGCAAAGCAGGTCATGTGACCTGCCTCAGGGTGTAAAAGCCCATGCGCAGGTGCGCCATTTATATAAACTCCAATACCAACGCCCGTACCAACTGTTACGTAAACGGCGGTATTACATTCAGATATGCTTGCCTCAAGGGCTGCGGGGGCATTCACGTCTGTATCGATGTTGATAGGCACCCCCGAAAATGATTTCTTAAATGTGCCTAAAACATCAACATTTTGCCAAGATAATTTAGGCGTTTTTAGAATAAATCCGTATGTATCAGAGTCCGTGCAAAGATCTATAGGACCAAACGAAGCTATCCCGATCGCTGCGTAGCTTTGAAGATCATACTTTACCAAAAACTCTTGTAGACAAGAAACTAGTCGATTGAGTGTGACTTTCGGCTGTTCAGTTTTATATTCTTCACGATGTAGAATTGCTAATGGATTTTTAACATCAGAAATTGCCACAACACATGTAGTTCCACCTAATTCTACACCGGCAAGGCATTTCATCTTCTCCTGTTTGTAGAATGCAGATGAATGAGCTGAATAATAAAGCGAAATACGTAAATATATTATAATATTCTGCGTGTAATCGCGTGTAATCATGTGATCACGAATCATGAGATGTCTCAGCGGAGAATTCCGTGAACTTACGTCATTTGTGCTTCAATGACGATGCAAGCCCATATTAGGACAACACCGACGTCGTACGTGAGCGAGTGTTTACGGTAGTCGGCATGACGATGACATCACTTTGTTGCTGAAAATTACGCAGCGGCAATAAATACATCAAATCATACTACTTCGCAGCAAACGAAGCTGCATTTTCACAAGACAACTGATACTTTTTGAATTTGTACATTCGCCGGGAATATTTCTGAAAAGATGTCTCTCTATCCATCGTTAGAAGATATGAAAGTTGACCAAATGGCCAAGGTAAAGCTACTATCTCAAATTTTGCGAATTCTTAACACAAAACGAAAGAGTATTTTTCGATATGTTTCATATTACGAGATGCATTATGACATGTGAACGTAAACGGAAATTTTTTCATAAAATTGTTTTACTTTACGCGAATCTAAGCAAACTATCGCTAGTTTATTAATTAGCAAATTTATAGATAATAGTACAGAAGAAATCGTGCTTTAAAATATTTTTTGTTTTAAATTTTAATAGGCCCAAGTACAAGCCTCTCAGGCGAATGCTCTTCCCCAAGCGAGCGCAACGACGGTATGTTAAATCCTTTTTGCTTTGTTAGATTTGCCTGACTTCATCTGACGGATTCGAGTTTAAAACCTTCTAAATTGATAAATTTCAACTTTGTCATGTATCATTTCAAAGGGCGAATATAGATAATTAAATATAAGTCTGTTTTGTTTGGCAGAATATTACGCCAGGAACCAGTAGCCTTTATCCGTCTCTGGACGACTACATGGGTCTTCACATTACCGAACAAATGGTGCAAGAAAACATGCCTGGTTATGTAAGTTAATCAAACAAAATACATTCTAATTTTCTGTTGTAGTCAAAAGGGGAAGTTGAATAATTAATTACATGCACTTTTAGCAAATTGTTCCATCGGCTGGAAGCCAGCTATCGACTGTTACAAGTGGTGTCATTGCCCCGGTAACTGGTGCAAATAACATCGATGTGAGACGAGCTGAAATCAGGCAAGGTGTCCGTGAGGTTGTGTTGTGTAAGGATGCGAAGGGTAAAGTCGGTTTAAGGGTACGCCATGTGAGCAAAGGAGTGTTTGTCTCCTATGTTCATCATAATTCTCCAGCAGCGCTGGGTGGTTTGCGATTTGGTGATCAGATATTGCAAATTGATGGTGAAAATGTTGCCGGATATGACATGGATAAAGTGAATAAAATCATCAAGAAAGCTTCGCAACAACGTATAGTGTTTGCCGTCAGAGATAGGTATGGTAATGTTGTCATTACTTATTTATAACAAAATATCAATATTTATTTTATATCTTTTACCATTCAGACCATTTGAAAGAACCATCACGCTACAGAAAGACAGCAGTGGAAGTATCGGTTTCGTGTTTAAAGACGGTCAAATTACTGCTATCGCAAAAGAGTCATCAGCAGCCAGGTCAGTAAAGTGTTATTATGATAGAAAGTTTTGCAATGAAGCAATTAAGTAACAGGCCCAATTAAGCCAGCTCCTTCTTCTTGTCAGCTTATGTTTATAGGTGGTGTTGGGTGACATGTTTTGTAGTTGTTTTCACCAAGCTTCAATAAATAAATGCCATATCTACGCTAGTGTTTGCTTTGTTTATTGATCTGTCTAAAATGTGCGAGTAGTAAAGAAAATGGAAGATTAAAAATTGTTTCTTTCATGGTTAGAAATGGTCTTTTGATCGAACATAACTTGGTCGAAGTAAATGGACAAAATGTCGTTGGTTTGAAGGTAAGATCTCAGAAAGATATTTAAAAAACCTTCGCCATAGCTTATCCTAACTTTGTTAATCTCTACAAGGACAAACAAATCAAGGAGATCATTGCCAAAGCAGATAGATCAGTTACATTTACAATTGTACCGACGTTCGTGTTCAAACACATCATGAAAAAGTAAGTTCATCTTTCTAAACTGTACTCATGGTTGAGATGCGTAAATTTATTAATATTTTTTTTTGAATCTAGCATATCAAGTGGCCTTATCAAAGAAAGCATGGATCATTCCATCCCTGATATTTGAGAAGCGGACATTGAATTAAAATTAGTTTCTCACAAATCACCTGTACAACAGAAATATAAGAAAATTTGTAATCTAGATTATGCACGTATAAGAGATATTTTGGATGTTCTATTAGTGAATTATAATTGACGTAGTCAACCTTAGTCCTTCTGGACAAAATATTGTTTTCTAATTTACATAATGGTGACTAGTCTTGCTACTGTTGTCATGTTATAATTGATAATTACTTTATATGATTAATGTTCTAACTGGGTAGATGAGAAATTTTTGCAGGGCTCTGGGTTATGTAATGTAGAGTATTGATTTGAATGGAAAATAAAAGTATTGCAGCGATAAACCGCCTTCAATTGACATTTTGAATTAACAAGGATTATAAAGTAAATGGTTTGAGCCCGGGAGTATCGTTACATGTTTGTAGATGTAGATCGTCCAAGTTGGTATAGTCCTGAGAAGGACTGTTGTTGTTGACTGACGTTTCGACAACCTTAGCGGTAGTCATCTTCAGAGTCAAATGAGGAGTAAACGTCAGGTTAGCCGTGTTAGCCGAAGAACCAGACAACAAACACGGCTAACCTGACGTTTACTCCTCATTTGACTCTGAAGATGACTACCGCTAAGGTTGTCAAAACGTCAGTCAACAACAACAACAACAGTCCTTCTCAGGACTATACCAACCTGGACGATCTACATTTACAAACATATAACAAGGTTGTGATATAACAAGGCTAGTTATATGTTTACAAACATATAACTAGCCGTGTGGTTGCCGGCTTAGAATTGCGCCAACGTATCCTCTGCGTGTCGTAAAAGACGACTAAAAGGGGTTGGTGTAAGGAAGGGCATCCTACCGTAAAACTTTTGCTCCAACAAAATTCATAAACTTTGGAAAAGAAGATATGGCCCCCAGTCCCCGGCAGCCCTTCAGTGGGCAGGGGGTGCGAAGAATCTCCGGATCGAATGTTGGTGGAAGTGTCACCCTTCGGGTAGGCACAGTGAACGAGGTAGACCGAGAAAGAGATGGATGAATGCTGTGAACAGTGATATGAAGGCGATGGGTATAACGAGAGATATGGCGAGAGATAGAGACGTTTGGCGTGGAAAAATTCATGGACCGGTAAACCCCCCTAGCGGTGATTAATACTGGCCGGTATACAAATGTTGTTTGTGTTTGTTTGTGTTTGTGAACAAGGATTATATTGAATATTGAGTATTGATATAAGTGGAAAATAAAAATATTGCCATATCACGTATTTGATAGCGATAAATCCGCCTTCAATTGACATTTTGAATTAACAAGGATTATATTGAATACACGTCAAACGCAAATTTTTTGAGAAACCCGAACTTCCAAAAAATTCCTATAACTTCCGGAAATCCTTTCTTGGGTTACCTGTTGTGCTCACGTGGTAACTACTGTGAAGGTACCACAGGATTAGTCACAATTTTCTGACCAGTACATATTCCACCCAACCGATAATTCAAAACGCTTGTAACTTTTGTGTTTTACATAAATAGATTAGCGATATTTTCGACGATGTAACTTTTATTTCGTCTTTAAGTGAGGATTAACGCTTCATATAATGCAACTATATATCGATGAATTATACAAAATGTTGTATTGATAACATCACGAAGTACAAAATGCTATAAATTTTCGATCGCAATGCACTGAGCGAGCGACGTATCAAATACAGCAAAAATACAACAATCCTAATAACTCAAATGACAAATTGCATTTTAATTTAAGTTCGCGGAAAATTCTTGGCCTTGCTTTCCGCTTTGAATAATTCTCAAGCACAAACATCGGTTATATAACAGCGCATGCGCAGAAGATATCACAAATATTCAAACGGTCATTACGTTTTGAAAAATAATTAATTCGTAATCTTTACACAAACAACCAATCAGAAAGTTTAAGATAATTTTCAAACCGCACAAATTTCATAAACCGTTTACTGTCAAACAAATGATCAATATATGAAATTAAATATCCTTTGCGTACCTCTAATCGCCCATGCTCGATTGCAGATCGCATGCCATTCCGGTTATCGTGCCAGCAAAGATAAAGGTTTTTCCGTGCAAGAAATTTGTTTCTAATCCCAAGTTCAACTAGAATTTCACCCCAGAAGCTATTTGACTCTCTGTAAGAGAGTCGAATAGCTTCTGGGGGAAATTCGTTTTGGTCGTTTTGGAATAGCGTTTTGGTCGCCAGACATATTTGACATGGCTGCAACAATTGCATTCACGTCAAACGTGTATTTCGATCGACGACCAGCAGTGCGCTGAAAAGCACAAACAAATGCAGTGAATGATAAAAGACATGAACGACCGTAAGACAAGAAGAAGCGATAACGTACCTTCATCATTTAGCGTTACACGAAAACGAGAAGAGCACAAAAGATTTAAATATAATCCTGAATTAACTTTTCTCGCAAAAGTAATAATTCCTTCGATAATACAGGAAAACCGTTGAAAACCGAAAGCCGTGCAAGTCGTAGAACGGTACAAGAACGATGCTTGTTTATGTCAACTATTACGTCACTCTTTCCCAGTTCCCAGACTTAAACAATCTCACGGCGTTTTAGCAATGGTCATCGACTATCGTGTTTTTACCGATTATAACCCTAAATATCTTTTGAAATATTTTGCGGACGACTTTGAAACTTGGTACGTCTTATTTTCATGCTATAGGCATTACAATAAAATAAAGTTGTCTTCTAGCTTGCATGTGTCCTTTAATAATATTAAAATGAATGTGGTGTCAACTTCACACTTTATGCTAATTTCGATTGTTGTGGTGAATCCTGTGGTACCTTCACAGTAGTCACGTGGTACTTATTGACATTTGAATTTCTTGATATAAAAAACAGAATACGTACAAAACTTTGGCAAAGAATTGCGGATTTCTCATTCATATGCGTAGGATTTCACCCAAAAGATTGCTGGAGGCCTTGAGTAAACTTCATCTTTCAATAATGCCGTTCTATGCCGTTCGTAAGGGTCGTAAAACCGGAATTTACACTTCTTGGTATGAAGCTGAAAAGATCTTTATATTCGGGTCTATTTGGAGCATTTCCATATTATTTACTTGTATTTTGGCTTTACTACAATAGGCAGGAATGTAAAGAACAAGTGGACGGTGTGGTTTCGCGTTTTAAGAAGTTTCCAACGTTTGAAGCTGCCCAGGAGTTTATGAACACAGTCGACCCGAGGGACAATCACAAAAGAAGGAAATTTGTAAAATACTTTACACATCATTCATACTATCTCGAATTAAGAAGGCTTCACATCGATTTTTTAAAATAATACTTGTGTAGCACGCGAAAGCACCCACTCCGAAGAAGGAAAATCATAAACAGAATCTCGAGAATGTCAGTCTTGAAGTTCAACCGACAGACCAAGGTTTCTGTTTAATTCATGACCAAATCCCAACCTTAAATACAATAGCATAATCTTGTGCACGAAATTCAAATATTAATGCAAAACTTGGCCTATTTTACCGTTGTTGATTCCACGTTATTAGTGCAAAAAATCTAAGCAAGACATAGACAAGACGATTGCATCTTAGAAATGTTCACTTCTATATACCGAGAGGTACTAACATTTTATTCCACTTTAAGGAAATACGAAAGGATGCAAAAGGAAAACAAATGATGGCAATGACTATGAAACAACAACAAAAAGATTAAAGGAAGGTCTTGTACCTTTATTTCACTTGTTGGTATAGTTTGTTATCATCATAAACCAGTCTTTTTATACTAAAAATGGCATTCTATTCAACCACAGAAATTCCTGATTCCTCCAGTAACTTTAATTGTGTAGACATCATGCCTTTGCACTTAAGGATATAATATAAACTCTATATTCACCCAAAACTGTTGTCGCCAATTTGCTGCAAGCTGGACATTTATCACTCACCCAAACCACTAATACAGCTACTATTACATCACTTAAAAAAGCATGTTTGTAAATGTAGATCGTCCAGGTTGGTATAGTCCTTGGAAGGACTGTTTTTGTTGTTGTTGACTGACGTTTCAACAACCTTAGCGGTAGTCATCTTCAGAGTCAAATGTAGACTTAACTAAACAGTCTTTGATACAAAATCACATATGTCTATAGTGATCCATTCGGGTGGGCAGGTGGGATTCTTGTTGAGCTGTGCGAATGCAACAACTAAATGTGCTTTGTACAACCCATACCACCGGGCACATTGATTCATAATTGGGCTCTCAGGAGTGTGTGATAAAACATTTCCTGCCTTTTTTGTTTCTTAGACAGTGAAAAATAATGCTTGTTATAATTGTTTTGTATTAGTGTGTGATCCAGGCCGTGAAGTCGTTTATTCTGATGGTTGTTGTTTTGGAAATGGAAGGCAAACAGCACGAGCCGGGATTGGTGTGTACTGGGGTGAAAATGATCATAGGTATAGCTTGGGATTTGTGTGTACTGACTGGGGTGAAAATGATCATAGGTATAGCTTGGGATTGGTGTGTACTGACTGGGGTGAAAATGATCATAGGTATAGCTTGGGATTGGTGTGTACTAACTGGGGTGAAAGGATCATAGGTATAGCTTGGGATTAGTGTGTACTAACTGGGGTGAAAGTGATCATAGGTATAGCTTGGGATTGGTGTGTACTGGGATGAAAATGATTATAGGTATAGCTTGGGATTGTTGTGTACTGACTGGGGTGAAAATGATCATAGGTATAGCTTGGGATTGGTGTGTACTGGGGTGAAAATGATCATAGGTATAGCTTGGGATTGGTGTGTACTGGGGTGAAAATGATTATAGGTATAGCTTGGGATTGTTGTGTACTGACTGGGGTGAAAATGATCATAGGTATAGCTTGGGATTGGTGTGTACTGGGGTGAAAATGATCATAGGTATAGCTTGGGATTGGTGTGTACTGGGGTGAAAATGATCATAGGTATAGCTTGGGATTGACATGTACTTGGGGTGGGTGGGTGTGAACATGATCCTAGTTATCCTATTTATATACATAATCCTTAGAAAGAATGTTATATGTAGTGCGGTGTTTGAAATTGAATGTAGATATGATCTTTGCACTTTTGCTGGACAATTTAAGCGGACAATTCATGAGACAATTGCTTAAATTGTCCAGCCAAAGTGCGAAGATCATATCTACATTCAATACATAATCCTATTGGGATTTGTATGTACTTGGTAGAAATTACCTAACTAATCATCACAATTTGATTAACTCGACTAAAAATTACACTTTTTTAAGAAATGCAAGTGAAAGACTGCAGGGAAAACCAGAGACAAATCAAAGAGCAGAGTTGAATGTATGTTTTCCGAGTCATCTTAACAAGTTATACAATTGAAAAGTGCATGGATTGTTGGAAATAACTGTCTTTATATAGTTGCTCTTAGCAACTAGTTTGACAGAGATGGATTTAGTGGGGGGTGTGATTCTACCCCCTAGACTTGATTAGAATCACATAAAAACATCCTCAAATGAGCCACTGAAATCAAATTTGAACTAGACTGAATCCATCCCAGGCTTGACATCATTTTTTAATTATATGCTTCATTTATATATGACTAGGCTGCAATCAAGGCTTTGGAGACAGCAGTAAAGCATAACATTCCCAAGGTCGAAATACGAACAGATAGCAAGTACACACTAAATGGTTTGTATCTTCTTCACTTTACAAGACAAAACTAGTATTGGGAGGGTGTGGGGTGAAAAGGAACAGGTAGCTAAATGGTTTGTATCTTCTTCTTAACTTTACAAGACTAAACTAGCATTTGGGGCGGGGGATGTAAAGGAACAGGTAGCCAGTACACACTAATGGTTTGTATCTTCTTAACTTTACAAGACAAAACTAGCATTTGGGGATGGAAAGGAACAGGTAGCCAGTACACACTAATGGTTTGTATCTTCTTAACTTTACAAGACAAACTAGCATTTGTGAAAAGGAACAGGTAGCTAAATGGTTTGTATCTTCTTAACTTTACAAGACAAAACTAGCATTTGGGGGGGGGGGTGAAAAGGAACAGGTAACCAGTACACACTAAATAGTTTGTATCTTCTTTACAAGACAAAACTAGCATTGGGTGGGAGGAAAGGAACAGTGCTGAAATGATTAGGTCATTTTCTTTCAATTTATAGCAGTGACAAAATGGATGAAAGGCTGGAAATTAAATGGTTTTAAAACTGCCAATGGTCAAGATGTGAAAAACAAACAAGATATTGTCAAATTATATAATCTCTGTCAAATAATTGATGTCAAATGGGTAAGAAACACCGAGGTGTTATAGCTGGAGGGGGGGACAGTTTCTGCTGGCACAATTCTAACCCCCCTAAAATATCTTGTTTTACATACATTGCATTGTTTAAACAACAACGTCCCCTGGGGCAGATAAATGCTCATCAGACTGGTGGGGCAGGTTTTCCAGGGGGGTCTTACTCAGTCTTGTACAATTTTCTAGCTTATAATATTATAAATCTACAGTATGTATGCTATTTTTGTGGGGGTGTGCACCCCCCTGGAAATTTGCAAACACAAACTACTCCGCATTTAAGTTACAACTTGGTTAGCCGATAATTCTGGTTGATGTGTTATTTCTCAATGATACAGTTGTGTCGGTTTCAACATTAAACTTTTTAACAAGAAAATCATATTTATGTAGACACATGTACGAGGACATGTTGGTGTACTTGGAAATGAAAAAGCGGATATGTTAGCAAAGCAAGGTGCCCAACAGCAACATGGAAGTCTGGGTACTAATCTACAGCAGGGCACAAATGAAAGAGCAGATTCGCTAGCAAAGCAAGATTCTAAACAGCAATATGGAAGTCTGGGTTCTAATCTACCACAGCGCAGAAATAGAAGGGCACATATGCCGGCAAGGAAAGGTGCCAAACAGCAATATGGAAGTTTGGATACAAATCTACAGCAACACAGAAATAAAAGGGCAGATATGGTAGCAAAGCCAGGTGCTGAACTACAATATAGAAGTCTGGGTAGTAGTCTAAAACAGCACAGACATGATACAATAATTTTGGACTAGTAACACTATTCAAGGATAGGAGTGATATTGTGACCTGTGTTGTGAAGCTACAGAAGATGTTAGAGATCTTGTGGCCTGTGTTGTGTAGCTACAGAAGATGTTAGAGATCTTGTGGTCTTTGTAGTGTAGCTACAGAAGATGTTAGAGATCTTGTGGTCTTTGTAGTGTAGCTACAGAAGATGTTAGAGATCTTGTGGCCTGTGTTGTGTAGCTACAGAAGATGTTAGAGATCTTGTGGTCTTTGTAGTGTAGCTACAGAAGATGTTAGAGATCTTGTGGTCTGTGTAGTGTAGCTACAGAAGATGTTAGAGATCTTGTGGTCTGTGTTGTGTAGCTAAAGAGGATGTTAGAGATCTTGTGGTCTGTGTAGTGTAGCTACAGAAGATGTTAGAGATCTTGTGGTCTGTGTAGTGTAGCTACAGAAGATGTTAGAGATCTTGTGGTCTGTGTTGTGTAGCTACAGAAGATGTTAGAGATCTTGTGGTCTGTGTTGTGAAGCTACAGAAGATGTTAGAGATCTTGTGGTCTTTGTAGTGTAGCTACAGAAGATGTTAGAGATCTTGTGGTCTGTGTAGTGTAGCTACAGAAGATGTTAGAGATCTTGTGGTCTGTGTAGTGTAGCTAAAGAGGATGTTAGAGATCTTGTGGTCTTTGTAGTGTAGCTACAGAAGATGTTAGAGATCTTGTGGTCTGTGTAGTGTAGCTACAGAAGATGTTAGAGATCTTGTGGTCTGTGTAGTGTAGCTAAAGAGGATGTTAGAGATCTTGTGGTCTGTGTAGTGTAGCTACAGAGGATGTTAGAGATCTTGTGGTCTGTGTAGTGTAGCTACAGAAGATGTTAGAGATCTTGTGGTCTGTGTGGTATAGCTTCAGAGGTTGTTAGAGATCTTGTGGTCTGTGTGGTGGAGCTACAGAGGTTAGAGATCTTGTGGTATTTGTAGTATAATGTAGCTTGAAAGAGCAAAGCACAAATTAAATATTTTTTTGACGTAAAAACATGAAAACTATCGAGAGTGCAAAACTTATTTTCTTCATAACAATAATGTGCTTGTTTGATGATGATAATTTTGATTCCCTTATGAGTCAAAATGACCATTTTGATTAGTGGATTGAGTGACTACAATGATTTCATTCTTTGATGCCTTGGAAACATTACGCCATTTAAAACTAACACTGTTAGTTTAACAAAATTGTCTTGTTTATTTGCACTACGCTGATATATAAGTAAGCAACTTTTCCATAATTATTCTTCATTGAATGTTTCTATATCATAAACTGCATGAATATGCATTCAGTCTTGAAATGACAGACTTGTGATAGTTGCTGATAAATGCAAACCAATCACTTGAATGTTTAAAAGTGTTATTCAAAGGCAAAACGAAAGCAGTTTATCAAAAATGAAAAATGAAATCAAGGCATGCCTTGGCATTGTTCAAAGTGAAAATGAAATCAAGGAAAAATTTAAGGGAAAGCTACTTTCACGCTAATATATTTATATTTTTGGCTCTTTATGCGGCAGACTTTTATACATTGATTTCACACTTCAAAATGTAAATATCTTATATCGAAGGCAAGAAAAAGATTGATTCCCGTTATCACAATGACAACTACCCTAACCATCCCAGTTTTATGCAAAGTCTATGTCCACAATAACAATCAGCAATCAAGGAAGTTGGCAGCCATGAGCAACTCCAATGCAATTTCTGGTGCAATTGGGAACTCGGGTATTTCTGTACTGCTGTTTGTATATCGGACTTTGTATAAGAAATACATACAAACCTTTGAAAGGATGTGCGATGGAATCTCTCGAAAGTGGACTTCATTGGTCTCGTTCTCAGAAAACTGACCTGAAGGACATACAAAAGTGTTCATGTACAAGCTACCTTTACACAAAAATTTCTTTCTCGGACAAGGTTTTGAAAAAACAAGGTCTTAAAACAAATGTTAAGCTTAACTATTTCTGTTATCTTGGCCAGTTTAGGTAACACTGTTGATATGCATAATTATGATAAATTATATATTTACACATACGTAATGTACAAATAGCATGCTTCACTCAGTGAACTAAAATCACATTCCAAAACCTCATTTGTACATCACAGCAGCTTTGTAGACCCCCAGCAGCTTTGTACACAAATGTACACATTGATCATACAGCATCCCTACCTTCTTTAAACACATACTAAATGGAGACCCCATATTAAAATACGATTTTCAAAAAGCCAAGATAATTTTGAAAATTTCATTCATCATAAATCTACTAAATGCATACCTGGTCCACTAAGCATTGCTTTGATGGTTCCTGATGTTAAGGCATAACAGCGCTTCACAACAAATTCATGACCATCGCTCGAGATGAGCTTCACATATTGGGCCTCAGGCCCCTCACAGCTACCATAACCTGGTTCATTTGCCATGGTTGATTCACCAAGTAATTCCTGTAAATTAAAGGATTGATTGATAGATTGACGATGTTTTGTGCCGTTTTGAGTATGGCAAGGAGTTGTGATGAATAGCAGAAATTGTCCTTAAAACTTCCTGTTTTAGTTTCTATTTCGTTCACAATTATGAATGAGGAAAAGCATAACCAAAAATTATATTTCATAAGTGTTTACACATCAAAATAAGACTTCTTGATTGAAATTCAAGACTTAATACAAAGCTACAATTTGAGCAATTGCTTTAGCACTTAAATGGCTTGCGTCGTACGTCAGTAGCTCTGTTAATTGAAAACTATTAAAGCGAAAATTTACCTTGATCTGTTGTGTTCTTTTATAATCGTTTTCAAACCCGGAGCATGCTTTGCTCTTTCAGGAGATCCCTGAGGTTTTCGTAGTACAAAGCCTCGTCTTTCACACAAATAAAGTGAATAAAGAGACGAACAGTCGCACGAGATGACATCAACCAGACTGTTTGACGCGTGTATAAGTAACCGCGTAAGAGGTCTGGAAACGATTTATTTGAATTTCGTTTTTTCGTAGTACCGGGTTTTGTATCCACGGATATTAAAGTACACGAATTCTTGTATCTTCAAAAAGTTTGTTCGAGAGAGAAAATGCACAATACAGGGGGCTTTGGAAACATTAAAAAGCTGTAGGTGTATGAAAACTCTATGCAAACACTTACAGTTGATGCAGTATTGAAACTGCTTTGATATTAGTTATTTATGTTTTCGATTTTCTGCATCATGTCAGAAGATCTGTTTATTGATTTGAAAAATTGACCCACCTGTAAAAACATGATATTCACTATATCATAATCCTTGCAGTCAAAATACAAAATGTGTCTCACCTCCGCTTCTGTAGCCTGTTGTGATTTTCCGTAATATTTACTAATTAAATGTCAATCACAATAACGTTTTCACAAATACAGAAGGTATTTCAGCAACAACAACATGTAGGGCTGTAGGCTCCATTATCTTATATTAATATGAAAACATTTTCAACAACGCCAACGAAAGTCTGGCTTAAAGCATCAAATTTAGATGATATCGAGAATGTTTCCATAATAATATAAGATAATGGAAGCTTACAGAGCCCTACACTACACGTTGTTGTTGCTGAAATCGCTTCTGTATTTGTGAAAACGTTACTGTTATTGACATTTAATTAGTTTGTATAACAGGAAATCGCAACAGGCTACGAAGCGGAAGCGTGACACTTTGTATTTTGACTGTAAGCAAGAAGCTAAATTTGTAGGCCTCCTCCTTCCTATAAGTCGACGCCAACGGCTTCCCAATAGAGCACAAAAACAACACACGAACTTTACGCATTTCTGTGAGTAAATTTTGTACAACTAATGTATTTACATTTGTCAACATACAATAAAAATTGATCGTCTTAAACATATGACCATGCATTTTTCACGTGCAAGGGTGGTCACGTGATCCATTTTCGAGAGGGGTTATAGATGAAAGACTGTTTGCCGATACGTCGCGGACGATACGAAGCTAAAAAATATTTCAATTTAAGGGAACCTGTCGTTTTATAAAACATTAAACTTTAACACAATGCGAAATCCTTGCAAAGAAAAACACATATTTATTCATTTCTGTCTTAAAGTTCAGCATCTTCTAAATCATTAATTTGTTTTGAAGCATCGTCATCTAAATCTATAATCCTTTTTCATCATTGATTTCACTTGAGATTTCTAAAAGCGGGGAGGGTAATATCTAGACTTGGTTTTTTCATCATTGATTTAAATTGAGCTTTTTAAAAGCGGAGGGGGTAATATCTAGACTTGGTTTTTTCATCATTGATTTCACTTGAGATTTCTAAAAGCGGAGGGGGGGAGTAATATCTAGAGTTGGTTTTTTCATCATTGATTTAAATTGAGATTTTTACAAGCAGGGGGTGGGGTAATATCTAGACTTGGTTTTGGTTTCAGTTTTGAGGAAGTTTGTATTTTGTTGTTGTCCGTCTATAGACCTAATGACGGACAACGAAAATTATTTCACACACCCCTGACTAGCATTCATTGACTTACTGGAGCCGGAGGGTGTCTCGGCATCTACTGAGCAACGCCATGCTATCTTCTGAAGGGCACAATAATTTTTACACCCCCCGGAAGTAACGACATTGATTTTTACTGACTTACTTGGGCCGGGTATTTCCGTCTCAATGTCGGTACCAGGCTTCCAGCGACTTGTGGTCGACACAAACATTGAACTCGACATGTAGCGTTTCTCTTCACCTTTGTAATTCACGAGATTATAGTGACCGGGTCCAGGAGAGGGATCTAATTCCGGTACCTCCAATGCCGGAGCTGAGATACTGAGATAGTGCCTCCGACTATAGATGAACATTTATGGATAAATGATGAGAAACGTGGGTATTAAAGAACACGGGGAATAATCTGAAAAAAGTGCGAGTCGTTTTAAGTTTAACGCGATAGACTGACCGAGTAGAGCCTGGTGACGAATGAATTGAACAATAGGGGAACTGCGTTTTCAAGGAATAACAAGATAATCAGAGCTTAGAAGTTTATAATGAAGCTAAAACACATGAAAGGCAAAGACATTCCATCAGAGGAAAGCGAACAGCTTAAAAGAAATCAGTCTGGCACAACTGAATATATGAGTTAACCCCCACAACTTAGTACCGCCCCCCCCGATTCGATAACCACAAATAATTTTAAACTGACCAGAACTTGTATCCTTTCTTAGGATCGCTACATGCTTTGTAAGGGTTGTATGAACCAGGGCCTGGGGCGTGTTCTGATGTTTGCGTCACTTTACGTTCCGTGGTTGATTTGAAAGAGGCGGTTGCCGCACTTGAATTTTTCTGAAGCAAAACATCGTTGACATTATATTGGCCTGAAAGAAAAGAAGATCTTCACGATGAGTTTTGCTGTTCCCCCAACAACAAAAAATTTCAGGCTTCGAGGTCACCGAGCCAAAGTTTTGCCACTATGTTTTTGACTGTTACGTCATTAGGTTACGTCATAGGTTTTGATGTCTTGAACGAATATATTATTGATTTCTGGTGGTGACTTCATAATACTGAGATATTTACATGGAGAAGGAAGATTCTTCTTGTTTGCACTTAAAGTTTCTCTTTTCGAACTAAAAATCAAAAGAAATTACGATATAAACATAACTGTCAAGTCGCAGCAATAAGCAACATATCAAATGGCAGAGCTTTGGAAACGACAAATTTTTCGTGCTTGTACTAATGACATCACAAATATGACGTCACGAGCATGACGTCACGAACGTGACGTCATAGAGCACATGATCTAAATTTGTCTTAAAGCAAAGTGTGGTGATCCATATTTATGTACTTCAATAGAGGCAATACATCCCTACTTTTAATATCAAACTTGTGAGTTTGAATCTTCACTTGTTACGACAATTAGGCATGTCTTACTTTGATTTAAAGGCGGCACAAGCAGTAACATTGTTATCATGGACAACTTTACCGGTTGCTTTGGAAACCTGTGGAAAAATTATAAAAAAAATACGAAACCCGGGAACTTTCACATTTTCAAATAGCAAGAAATGATACTGGACTGTGATTGGTCAGTTTCAGAACCTAGAAAATCTAGAGGATCTAACCTTGTATGAATTTGGTGCTGGGGCTTGCAGTTGTTTTCGTTCATTTATGTGAACAGCAATTGGTAAATGGAAATTACTGGAAAAAGAAAGATCAATAATTATGTCTGATGATAATTATATTGATGACAATTGACGATTAGATCTGATCAACATAACAGTATTGATAACATCTGACGATTATAACATTGATTATATCTGATAAATAAATGAGTTAAATATGTTTGCAAAACTTTTTCTCAAGAGAAAAACCCGACATAAAATCACCTTGTTACATTGGCTCGGTTGAAATCAATTTTTATAGGTGGCTTTGACGGTTCGTATTCACCTACATTCAGAAAAGCGATAAAACACACGCACTTCTATTTGCAAGGGGAAAATGTAAATTTCAACTTAACAATTCCGATAGCTTTTGAAAAGTTTTTAAAATCTTTAAGCATTTGAACACCTGGTCCTGGCTGTGCAAAAACTCTCTTCTTCACAGGAAATCGGGTATTCTAAAGTTCAAATAAATGTTAAATCAAAATAAAATACCAGAGACATATCACTACATGTTTGTAGATGTAGATTGTCCAGGTTGGTATAGTCCTGAGGACTGTTTTTGTTGTTGTTGACTGACGTTTCGACATCCTTAGTGGTAGTCATCTTCAGAGTCAAATGAGAAGTAAACGTCAGGTTAGCCGTACTTGTTATCTGGTTCTTCTGCTAATACGGCTAACATGATATTTACTCCTCATTTGACTCTGAAGATGATCACCTCTGAAGGTTGTCGAAACGTCAGTCAACAACAACAAAAACAGTTTTTCTCAGGACTATACCAACTTGGACGATCTACATTTACAAACATGTAACGATGGGTTACTCCCGGGTTCAAACCATTTACTTTAGAGGCATACAATTATATCATTAACAAGTTTTCTTGGATCTAACCTTGGATGCAAATGTCCCAGTACCTTGAGTGGAGTACGAAGGAGATATGGTATTGATGTCGTGTTCCGGCGCTCGGTAAGTCCCGGGGCCGGGGTTTTCATTCTGAAAACAATATTACAGTCTACAGAGAAGGAATTCAAAATTCAAAATGATCGAAACGCCTTTTTGGGTTTTAACTGCTAAACTACAATAAAAGCATATGCTATTAATTGTTGATACTAATGCCTTACTAAAGGTTCAAGACTTTGGAACCGCTTTGCTCTTGATAAAAATCCTTTATTGTCGGAGTTGTCTAGCACAATTGTTTGAAATTTGCTTGGTATTGAGGACGAAGCTGCCACTATTCCGTGACCTAGAGACGTTAAAAACATTAAAATTTTCACATATACAAAACTTTTGAAATCGGAAATAAAATTATAGCACCTTTGTGGAGATGTTTTATTGAGTTTCGGTAGCTAAATCTTCCTCTGTTCTCTTCTAAGACTATACTGTCGGTCGCCATGTTGTCTGTTCACTGTTTCCATGACGATGGACGATGCACACTGATATCATATACAACTGTAGTTGTCTTCCAGAAGATGATGATGATTTTTGAAATGAACTTTATAAAAGACGAATTAGGAAATTTTTTCGCATTTAATGAATATGCATAATTTACCCATGGAAAACACACCTCATTGTCGTGTTTGAGGATGGGACAATACATTGGAAGATACCAGATGGTGAATAGATGGAATTATCAAGGCCATTGATAAACCGCTTTTTGGTGTTTTTATGCTGTTCTAATTTTTTTATTTTCAGCTTAAATATCATAATCACACGCATTTTGTGTACGGTGACTTAATTGAATATAGATGGATGTCTTAATGGGCGGGAAATCTTATCGCCAGCTCCATAGGAGAACATCTGTCTTTTTCGTCAACCCTTTTCGACCAATGATTGAGCGTGAATTATTCTCATGTCGAATAAGGCGCCCAATAGGAGTTGCCACAATTGATTGCTTTCTTTCACGTTTGTCGCCCCAAATAAGAATGATAAGCGATCAAAATAGATGAGATATCACCTTTGAAAGAAATAGAACTTATTAGAAATTCAAACAGAAAATCTTAGCGTCACATTGTCTTTGTGTTGGGCAAGTTGAGATGAGAGTCGGTTTAAAGAACCCCAAAACCACGCAAAAAGTTTTAAAGTTTGTCATTTGATAGATGTCTGCCGAAGAGAAAACATGAAGTTTTTTCTCTCCGTTCTGAAAACATGTTTTAAACTCTGAGCAAAGCCTGCTGGTAAGAGAAATCAACGCTTTATTACGCATTCGAGAAGACTTGCCGTAGTCGTGAAAGATAGAAACAAGGTAATGTGAAAAGGCCGACATTCGAAGAAACTTTTATCGAAGACATCGGTTGAAGAAGACAAGAGAGCCGGTGCAAATCAAGAAAATTGCCATAAAACATGCCACAGTTTAAAAGGCACAAGAGATTAAAACGTAAATCTTCCAAACCAAGGCTTGGTGTTCGTTATCTTCACAAACACTTGTTCGAAGATGACCCGACTAGCGAGGAAGATCTCGCGGCCGACGATAAATATCAATTATTACCGCAAAAGACAGATGGCCGTTTGTGTCTCGTCCGCGTCATATCCGCCTCCATGATTGTTGCTGGCCTTGTGATAGCTTTGGTCGGCGGATTGGTGAGAAGACGAGAGGTCGATTATCTCGTACACAATGGCGGCCCGGAAGAGCCAGTCGGAGATGCAATCCAGTACAATTCAATGCTGGATGCTCTTGTTCTCGTAGGGAGTATTTTCATGATGTTAGGGGGAGTCATGTTCGCCGCAGTGCAAATCCTCATATGTTATCCGCGCATGAAATCCGGGACTCGCAAACCCCGGGTAAAAGACCCGGAGAGCTTTTTGTACCCGGAAAAAAGCGGAAACGACAATACCGTTAAAAAATTCGACAAAGTACCGGTGTTTGCTCTTGTCCATAAAATTCAACCGAAAAAGAAGGACGGTGGCTCGCTTGATAAGGAAAGAATGAACATCGACGGAAAAAAACACAAATATGAAAATTGCATAGACGAAGAAAAGGAACAGGATGAGATTAAATGATAACATTGTGAAAAATGTATATTTTTGAATTAATTTAAATGACGCAAATAGATTACCAAAAAATTTTGCTGCTAATGTATTTTTGTGTTTTAAGAGAGTGGGACTTATGAACTGGGGGGGGGGACTAAGAATTTAAATATCCACAAATCACTGACGAAAATTACTGCCTGCGAATAGGTACAAAATTTGAAAATATGTCCGTTTTGAGGTGCACGTAGGAGCTTTTTTAAAATTTTTAATGGGAAGTATTTAGTTAAGGCTATAGCTGATATGCAACAAAAACATAAAGCTTGGAAAAAGTAATTTCGAAAATATAAAAAACATTGGCAGCGGTGGGATTCGAACCCACGCCTCTTACGAGACTGGTGCCTTAAACCAGCGCCTTAGACCGCTCGGCCACGCTACCAGTCGTGTGAGAGAGCAAAATATGTGTTTTTAAACCAGTTGATAATGTCATTGAGAAAAATTCAATTTCAACCATTGAATAACCATTGAGTTCTATAAGACCTGGAGGGGAAACGTCAACCAAATTACTATAAATTATTAGCGCGCGGCCGCGTGGTCAAAAACATGGCGGATTTTGGTTGTCAAAGTCAGCGGAAAGACGCGGGCTCATAAAATAAAATTTTTTTCGCCCACCCGGATTTGACAACCACAATTGCGATTATATAAAATATCAATGCCAAGCACAAAAACTTTTAGAAATTTTATCTTTAAAACATGCTGCAAACTTGTTTGGTATACGGATGCTGAAGTAATGTCAGAAAAGGAAACATTTCATGACTACGGTAAGCAACGTAAGATTCTTTACTATTTAAAGTGTTCAGTGTTTTGTTTTAAGTCAATACTTGAAGTGTGATGGTATATATTTTGTGAATGTTTTTACTCCTAAGTTATAATTTAAGTTATGTTTATCCAGTCTTATTTTTTCTTTACTTAATCGCTTGCTAGACGAGGCAAAGCAACCAATTCTTATCGAGATATGCATATCTTAAAACTCCTTGTTTCAACTGAGTTTACCTTCAAGAAATGGAGGGTGTTTTCATGATATTTTTCTGAAAATATGAAGCAAATATTAAGATCAGAGCTGTATTGAAATCAAATGCAGTGCAGGATTAATTAATGAGCTCTTTGGTACATGTCGTACGATAAAAAATACCTGTATTAAACAGCTAGCCTGGATAATTTGACAGATTATGGACAATTTTGATGATGGTGTGTAAAGGTTTGTTTTATGCTAAAAGTTTTATAAATTCCATCTGGTGTTTCTGTAAATGAATTGTTTGTTATAGTAAACAGGTTAGTACATCAAAATCAAGATAAAAACTACTTTGTGCAATAATGGGCCAAATTTTGCTCCTACCTTAAAATATTTGCTCAAGAAAAGGTTATGATGACATGCATGAAACATTAAATATAGTACTGCATCATCTGACAAAATCCATACATTTTCAATTCCAGGTGATTAAAAATTCACATAAGATGCATGGTTGCAATGAAGTTGAATGTGGAACGAGCAAAATTGATGCCAAAGAACTTTTTATGTCTTGAAGAATTACGATATCATTTAAAAGAATAAGAGTAGCAATCTAGTAAAAGAAGCGACATCTGTCTTCAACATGAGACTTTTCAAATTATGTATAATTTCTTTGTACAAAATACTATTTTAGATAAACTTGATTTTAAGTCATTCACTGATATTTTTATCAAAAGACGAAAACAAAAATTCAAGGCATAATGTAAAATTCAAAAGTTTGTCAAGTTGTTTGAACCTAGAAAAATTAGTATAGGTAACTGCAATTTGTAAGGACACAAGAGAAAAGTAGTGCAAGAAGGTTAGCATTTTGAGAATTAATAAGTTCTTCTTGACATACATTACACAAGGCCATAATATTATAAATAATGACTGTACAATAACAATTATACAACATGCTAAATATCTTCACCTACATTATAATTATTTAAACAGATTTGCCTTCATGCAGCAATAAGAAAAGTGTTATGTCAGAGAAACCAATGCACTTTAATTTATGAAATTGTATTTTCAATGGGAAATTAATGTAGTTCTGTTCAGTAGTAGATCCATGGTTGTCAATGACAATCCAGTTTCTAATATCTTGGCTCAAAACAGAACCAGCAACATGATTATAGAATTTCTGAATTTCAATCTTTTGCTCTCCTAGTTCAAGATATTTTCTTCATAAGTTCTCAGTAGATTTATAAGAATATCATAATACCTTATAAGACACCCAGAATCAATCCTACCAAAAAAAACTCAAAAAATTACATACCTACTTATAATATATTTCCAGTCGACTTAAGTCGTAGGGGTAAGCTAACTTTTTCTAACTCCTTTTTGGACGTTTTAACTAAGATTTACCCATCTATTCAGGAAAGACAGTTGCACCAAGCTGTAAACAAACAGTCAAAAACACAAGTAATGCTAATGGATTATGCATTAAAGCTTAACAACACATTGACAGTGTAAAAAATGCCGTTTGATATTTATTTCTAATATAGCTAAAGCATTACTTGACAAAATATACGTTATTTTACCTCATTTAAATGTGTGTGTCTATTTCACAAAAACCTGAAGCATTATTTTCAATATTTTATGCTTACGGTATCGTGGTTGTTTTCGCTGGTTGTCATTAAAGGGGAACTCCACCCAAAAATAATGTTGGTCTTAAAACTTTGTCTGTCCCGTGAAAATAAATATGCGGCAATTTTTTTGTTTGTTTGATTCAATATTTTCACAAAAAATGAGTTGAAATGCTGCAGCTAGGGCATCCGGTGCGTGGGAGCAGAAATATGTCAGCGGCTTGTATTGACGTCATATCGTCAATTGCTTCTCAAAGCTTTATGTAAAGTCATTGCACAGTCATAATAAACTTGCGTCAAAATGCTTCTCCTAATCACAAAATGTTTCTTTTCGAAACGTCAGAATTTTTTATTCGTAGGTATATACACAAGCAACCTTTATAGCTTACATGCAAGTATTGAGCTGGTTATTTGTATTCTGTTTTAATAGAACGGTTTCACATAAAGGCCATTACGCACAGTTTCCGCACTACATATAGAACTTGAATGTCGATTAATATTATTTTTAAAAATACGAAGGTTTCTTTGTGTGGAAACTGTGCGTAATGCCGTTTGCTTGTCCTCCGAATTCAACCTTAACAACAGTTTCCACTGATGTGAAACCAATCTATTGCCCTTAATAAACATTGAATAATAATAAACATGGTTGTGTAACTCATTACGGTTAGAAAATAATCCTACATGAAACCATTGTAAAAATAGCCTTTCGTGCATAGAATTAAGTTGTAGTTTCCTTGACGTAAAGTATGAACTTATAGTTTCCTAATTATTGTACATAATTGTATAATAATGGATTGCTAGAATACGGAGAAAATCTACCTCCTCTCCAATACTGTTACGTTTGCAGCGAGCACTTTGCTCCCGATTGTTTTGAATCGGACCTAAGACAGAAACTTACACCATGGCAACCTTTAAAAAGGCGACTGAAGCGGGATGCAGTACCATCGATTTTTTCATTTGGCCCTCAACCCAGTAAAAAGCGTCTGTCTAGCGAGCATCGTACAGAAAAACGTCAGACTGATCAAGACAAGGAGGAAGTTAGTAAAAGCATTTCTTGTTAAATTTTAATCAAGAAAAAGTTATAGCCTAAAGTATATTCTAAATATTTCTATTTTTTCTATTTTCAGCTTTCAAATATTTTAGAATAATGTTCCTCCACAAGTACAAATGTTTTCTCATTGTTTGAGCCTGAAGCAAATAACAGTTGTGATTTGGGTGCGTCTGACAGTCCTGAAGCATTGCCAACTAATTATTGCAAGCCAGAAACCAAAGATGCATCAACACAGTGTTCATTTGTTGTGAGGAGTTTACATGCCATGGAAGTCCAAACTACACTGTCGATGCTGAATACTGTGGATGCAGAGGTTGAAAAACAAACACCCTCATATTGATCACCAATATGATGTGTGGCATTTGTCTAAATCTGTCACAAAAACTAACAAAGAAGGCTAACATTAAGGAAATGATGACTTGACCCATTGGATTAAGTCCATTTCTAATCATCTTTGGTGGTGCTCTGCAAGTTGTAACAAGAATGCAGAAGAATTGGTGGAAAAATGGAAGTCTGTCCTTAACCACATTTCCAACAAGCATTTCTGGAAGGGAACACATATTTTCATCAATGTTGCCACCAACAATTAACAGAAAAGAAACAAAGCAGAAGAAGTGGTTATCTCCTACTTCACAAGCATATATCGCTGCAGAGAAGGTGATATGTGACAAGAGGCTTCTAAAAGACCTGCCCAAAGCGAGAGCATTTTTCATTTCCTGGAATGGTAGCCCGCACTCAGTTAGCAGCATTAGATCACAACAACAATATTAAACATGATAAAGCATTCATTAAGTCAGGGACAAACAAAGGGCAAGACCGTTACAAAATGTTTTTTGCTAAAACACAGAAGCAATGGGTTGTAAAAGCAATGAAAGAAAAGAAAGAGTACCAGTACATTGATAAACTACTTGCGGAGGTTGTGAATGCATGCAAAACTGAGGAGATTGAACTTGTACATCATGGCAAGAATCTTCCAAAGAACATTTCTAAATCATGTCCACCCAGGAAAGAAGTACTTGTAAAGGAACATCAGTCTAGATTTGCATAAAATGTCAGTGGTGATGTTAGCTATGGCAATAGGTTTTGCCATACCCATATAATATGACGTTGAATCAGTGAAGACAACTTTTGTACTACTTAAAAAATGTTCATTCTTAAATATTAACATAGCAAAACCTTTTGCTATAGCTAGTTTCACCACTGCATTACACAAACTATTCATGTAATTAATTATAGTTATATTATAACCAGTGTAATAGCCAAGCCACATTTATAATCATTTCTTTGTAAATCTGTTTTTTTTGTAATAAATTAATAATAATAAATGTGCATAGCATGACCTATAAATGAGCTGGCTATGCCACTTTAATATTGACATACAAAGTAATTGTAATGAGTATACCTATATCATAATAAAATACTTCATTCATCAACATAGTGAAAGCCTTCAAATTGAAATTCCTCTGCAAGGCCAGGTGGAGGAAATGTTTCTCTAATGCAGTAACTGCACATGATGGCAAGATGACTCTCACTTCTCTACCCAAGACACCCCAGCACCATCTTGCCAACTGTCTATATGCAATATGGCGGTACAGTTTGTCCTCGGGCCCATCATATGCTACCTCATATTGCTGCTTTTACTGGTACCAAACTGTTTGTAAAACCCACCTGTTAAGACAAACAGGCTCAAAACCAGGATGTTGTGTAATGCACAAAGGGACTTCGGTGGTCTCATTCGTTTCTACTGCCTCTAAATTTTTGTCACAAATATTGGAAATCTCTTTGCAGCATAAACATTTCTCGTTATTATCCATTATTTGGCAGTTACCACATTGACACCTGAATATGTTAAAAGAAAGGATCTTGAAAAGTAAATGTCAAAACTTCAATAAAAATTGTATCTTACAATAAAAACTTTAAAATCTAAAGTATTATGTGTGTGGACGTGGTCAACTTCAAAACTGAAAACGTACTTTTAAGATAGAAACAATGGTCTAGAATAATATAACATTTTACTACCCACCATTCAAGATTGTCGCGCCGAGATTCATCGTCAATATACAAAATTCCTGTTCTTCGTTATCCTCAAACTGGTGAGCTTCTTCGTGTTCATCAGCCGGCCATTCGGGCTCAAACTGATATGGCCGAATATTGTTTGTTGGATTGTCTTCCATTTCACTATCGATTGGTGAATTAGGCCGAGGTTCTTCCAAAAAAGCCATTATAAGCGATTGTTTTGTTTTTTGTGCAAGGCTGTGCGTTATTATTTTACTTTGTTGTAAACTCAACTCCAAATCGGTTTGACGATATGAGGTCAAAATAATTTCCGCTGACGCTTTCTGTGCCCACGCTGCTAAGCCTCAAAACAGCTCAAATAGCGCACTTGAAGACGCGATTTTGTCAAAAATAAAATAGCTGATGTAAAAATTTCAAAAATATAGTAACCTTTGCATAAAAATGGAACTTTTAAGACCAACATTATTTTTGGGTGGAGTTCCCCTTTAATATAAGCAGGAATAGAGATCCGGATTCGGGAGGGAGCGAATGTTAAAAATTTTTCTCAAAGTGGAAGTTTTGACAACCAAAATCCGCCATTACCGCCATGTTTTTGACCACGGGGTCCAGGCCCCTTTTCCCCTCCAGGTCTTATAGAGCTCAATGTGAATAACAAGGTAGAATAAGATCATGAAATACAATAAAATTCGACATCTAAAGTAGAATTGACTAAACCAGCTTAGAATCAATCAATATATTAGTTGACGAATGGCATTAGACAAGCAAAAATTCAGCAATAATGTCACAATTTTTCCGCATCCCGATGCAGAGCGCTGTTTCTTTTGTCGAGGACCGATTTCATCATTATTATTACTGTTATGTATCAAGTATTACGCATAGTTTGTGCATGTTGCTGAGAAATTTAACACGGAAAGCAAGGACGAGTTTCAAGGCGATTCGAGAGTAGCAGAGCAGATTACCTTTTTGGAACCATATTTGAAATACTTTAAACCAATCATTATTGAGACTTTTCAGTTGTATTATTTACTTTATGACAATGATAATTATTCATTGGTCTAATCAATCAATTACTTAATTATATCTTTTCATTCTTTTTCAAGTTTTAATTAAAACTATAGAACATTTGCTATAAGAACTATCATTAAAACTGAGAATACTAGAAAATGAGAACTCGAATTAGAACTTTCGTCTTTTTAGACAAAAACACAAGGGTATCGGGCATCATTCCTTATCTTCCGCAGGAGGCTGAACTTTCTTCACGTCAGTATTTCCCATAAACTCTCCAACGAGAGGACAATCAAAATACAAGAATTGACTTGGAGACATGTCTTGGACATTTTTCACGTAAAGATCTCCTCGACAAAACCACGAAGATCCTGCGTTTCCATGGAATCTTCCGACAACGAACGGTACAAGTAGACAGAGAGAAACAATAGCCGCTCCTATCGCCATAGAACTCAAACCAAAGATAGCCACAGCGTGAATATATATCGACGAAATATCAAGCGAGCCCCACAAATCCTCTCTGGTGCCATTGGACGCAAAAAAATAAGTCGCAAACAAAGAAAACAATCCAAGAAAGAGGAAAACAGCTCCGCTTACAATTCCACAGACCTGATAGGAATATGGCGTATGTCTTCGTTTGATACAAATCAAGCGCTGTTCATCAATTGCCTGACAACATAAAAACCGATCCTGATTTTGACAGTCGTGCAAATCCTTGTGGTGGCCGCGTATCAATCCAAAATTACATTTTTGAAAATCGTCATGGCTGAACAACTCTTCTTCGTAAGGAATTGAGCATATAAAATTTTCGAGATCGGTGGAGTTCGATAATTTTTGCGTATTATTGACGTCTATTCCTGAAATATCCTCTCCTCTTTTCATTATCTCTTCAGACTGTGTTTCATCGTCTTCAATCTTCGTGGGAAAACCATCGCTTCTACATCTCTCTGCCTCTTCCATGATCTCTGACATTTTATCTGTGCAATGAATCAAAATTCAAGTACAACATGTAATAGGAAAAAACGCAGCATCTCCACTTTCCCAAAAAGCGCCAAGATTCTTAGAACGAAATGTTTTTTACATAGAAAGCCCTGAAACGTAGCAAATTTTACGTTATCCAAAATGGCGACGAAACTCGAGCCCTTCTTGGTTTAGGTCACAGGCGAAAGTAAAATAATATCGATGTTTTGAATTAGGAACAAATTCGACTTGCGAATGCCATCAATAATACATCTTTGACAGCGCGATACAAAGGGAAAAAAACAATCGAAATATCAACTGGCCAACTTATTTTATTTTGCGACCGCTTGAATGTAAACACAGGCCACAAAATGATGGAAACTTAGGTTCAATATTCGCTTTTGGATTACATTATGACTCGATAATCGTCGATCATATGAGACATTGTCTTGGAAACGCTATCAAAAAAAAAACACCTGTTCCTTGCACATCTTGTTGTTTTGATCTTTTAAACTCAAGCAATTACAGTCTGGCGTGTCGCCAATCCAACAGGAGACGAAATATCAAGTCTTCGAGATATTAAGTCGACAAGTGAGAAGCTGTATGAAAACCTAACAAATACTCTTATTTATAAAATTTGGTAGAAAAAACAGATGGAAGTTCTTGAAATCTTGACACAGGGACAAATATCAGTAATTTTTAAGACCACTTTATCCCGCACGTATTAGACAATATCCATAACAATACCTAACAATACCTCAACCATCATAGGTGCCCGTCAAAAAATATAGTGCACAATCTCCCAAACTACTCGCAGTCTTAAATTCGTCTCTTAATCGAAACCGCCAATATTCCTCAAGATCCAATTTAACCACATTATCCCTTAGTGTACTACGATCCGAGCTTATTACACATATCCTCGCCCCAGGACAAAACCGTAAGCCCCGTAATTGTTCTTTTGTTACGTGGCAACCGTTACATAAATACAACAGAAGACCACCATATTGTTTGTCACCAGTCTCCTCGATAACTGATCCCGACGTGCTGCGGTAATCCACTGTCAGATGTGGTCCCAGGTTAATAAAACAGTCCAATAAGAGAACCGGATTTCTAAGGTTCTTATTGGCTGCAGGAAAAACATTCGTTCCCGACTTTATACGAAAGTATTCCTCCAGAAGAAAATGCGCGGGAATTGGAATCACGTGACCAGGATTTCGATCAGGAAAGGAGATAATGTTCTCAACGTGGGGCGTGACATCGTAATGACACCCACCCCCTGTTGGGATGTTTTTTGTCAACACGCTCAAATGATTATACCGCAGTACAACACCACCGTGGGCGTTGAGTTTGAGGTTAAAGTCCACTTGTTCCCAGGAGAATAAACGCCGATTATAAGACACGTGATGAGTCGTGCTAATGTTCAAAAACACTGAAGAAAACACGTGACATATGGAATACGAGTTTTGCTTGAACTGTCTTTCATTAGTTCCCCATAGATTAAATCCAATGAGAGCATATGACGTAATGCTCGGAGATGATTCGACAAGTTGCATTGTTCGTAGAAGCGACCAATCACTAAGCTTGTTAGATTCGGGTTCGTTCATGCTGAAACGACAGAACATTTAACATCATTGAAAAATCCTTTCAAGAAGCTAACGACCTACGATGGATGACGAGTACATGCAGAGCAGAGCATGTAACAGAATTTTTTGAAAATCGCTTATTCTTAACGAAAAATCTTTCCTCGGTGGAATTTTTTATCGATATAGTTTGCATTGACATAAAAATTGCGAGCTCAGGTGTCAAGTTCAATTTCCCAAACTTATGTAAAAGATTCTGCAGACTTGTGCGTCTAAAATATTCACAAGAGAGCTCCCTGATATAAATTAAAAAAACTAAGCCTCCCAAACTTGACATTACAACAACTCAGTTAAAAAGGGCTGGGCCTAAGAAACACACACCTCCCCGTCCATTGCACGATACACTAAACTAAGCCTCCCAAACTTGACATTCCAACAACTCAGTTAAAAAAAGAGGGCTGGGCCCAAACAAACACACACCTCCCCCCCGTCCATTGCACGATACACCAAACTAAGCATCCCAAACTTGACATTTCAACAACTCAGTTAAAAAAGGAGGGCTGGGCCCAAACAAACACACACCTCCCCCCCGTCCATTGCACGATACACCAAACTAAGCCTCCCAAACTTGACATTCCAACAACTCAATAAAAAAAAAGAGGGCTGGGCCCAAACAAACACACACCTCCCCCCCCCTTCATTGCACGACACACCCAAGATTTCGTGTTATAATTCCAGCTTTTTATTTTACTTTCAAAGTGACATCAGAAGATGAAGTAACATCAATATTTTCTTGTTCATTTTGACCATCGATTAATAACACTTTAATGACAAGTTGAAGCAAAGGAGGCCATTTTTGTAATTTAATACTAGATTTGGTCCGATGAGTTTAGTCTCTCCAACCGAATATAGTAAAAAATCAAATAAATCATTGATAGGAACTAACCTCTTAAAATATTTCACGTTGCAATTCTGCCACATCACACAGGAATCGTCTAGTATAAAAATAAATGGCCACACCATGTTCTTGGAGATATGCTTATGTCTCTCCTGTTCTAGAAGTAAATTCTGGGTGGCAAACTCCTGCAAAAATGAATATTTGTTGTCACAACATACGGCATTGAAGACTGAATCAAATCAAAGTAAAACGTAGCAAAATACGTTTACCTTAATAACATCTTTAATCATCCCCAGTCCGTCATAATTGCACATCGGTGGTAAGCCAACTATCACGTGATTTGGCCACGCCTTCTGGTATGACGTCACCTCAATCTGTTTCACGACTGTGAGATGCACAACCTCGCGGCCTTCCATAGCATGATAAAGATTAAGCAATCCTGTCGATGATAGGAAATATATTGAAATGTACGAATGGTGGCAGTCCAGTTACATAGCGAGACCATACCTTGCTCAGGACGACGTAATGAAGGCATGAAAACAGGTGTGTTTACCACGTGCTCCCCATGCATTCCAAGGGCACTTTTCCATCCATCAGTATTCGATGTTCGAGTGACAATCGGCAGCTTTAAACTAACCAGTTCTCCTTGCTCGTTGAAATTAAACCAATTTCGTTTCGTACCGGGAATAACGAACGTTAACTGTTCACCAGTCCCCAAGGTGAGCGTATGTTTAGTGAAGATACTGGCGCCCAAGCCCTCGCGGTAATTCTTGCAATCCTCACATTGATGATAGGAGTCGTACGAAGGAAATGATGACATCATCACAGACGACGTAGGCATGACGTCATGAGTCGTGTCTTCCAGCATGACGCTGTTGCTGACGTCACATCCCCTAGAACTCGAGTGAATTGTGGAAAGTGTTGAAAATCTTGAACCGAGAAGATCAGAATGAAAAGGAATTTTCGACAAAATCTTGAAGTTAGGCATGTCCATTTCAGAGGAGGGAATATCGCTGTGGTTCGATAAGGATTCTGGGAACTCGTCATAAACGTCAACACGTTGGAGTTTCTGAAGTGTGTTGTGTAACAGTTGTATAAAATGAAGTACTGCAGGTAATTTACCAACCTACAAACAAACAAACAATGATTATATACTTCATGTAACTTCACACATAGAGCAGTCTCTAATCTTCCTGTAACTTCATACAAAGAGCAGTACTCCAAATCACAGTAACTTAACATGGACGTATTACAACCCTTACCTGCGGGGGACCGCTGAACAAAAAGCACGCAGGATAAAATTTCATAGGACTTGTGTCAAGTAAAGTATTTTCTTTTCCCTTACGTGAGTAACTATCTTTAAAACAAAAAAATCTCATTTGTTGCAGCACTACCTCGAAGTTTGTGACTATATCTCAAAATACGTACCTCGTGGTTTAGTCCAGTGGCGATAGTATTTAGATTGCTCTGAAGTCATACCGCTGACCAAAGCCGGTCTCTGATCGTTGTTCCATGTTGTGGCTGGATCGGGCGGCAGACTAAGATTTTTAGGGCAACCAAAGAAATCTTTCTTGAGAACGCTGAGACAATGTAAAATACAGAGAAAATAATTTTCGCAAAATACTTTCTCACGTGATGCTTGTTTCACAGAAATTGGTCGGTAGGGGACACTTAAAAACAGTATATATTCATGCTATTTATCTACTGATCTATTTATCTATTTATTTATTTATCTATTTATCTATTTATTTATTTATCTATTAATCTATTTATTTATTTATCTACTTATTTATTTATCTATTTATCTATTTATTTATCTATTAATCTATTTATTTATCTATTTATCTATTTATTTATTTATCTATTTATCTATTTATTTATTTATCCATTTATCTATTGTAGCGTATAAGGCTCTCTGCTTTTGAGTAGACTTGTCTCGTTTACAAGGAAGAGGAGTGGAATGTTAATTTCTCAAATGTTCTTAGATAAGGTCGCTATTGTTTGTAGTTGTTGGTTATAGCATTATGCTATCATTCTTTTTGTTTAATAACATTCCAACTATTTAACCTTGTGATTATCTATTGATGTTGATAATCGATAAATACAATAATATCGACAAACATTCACCAAGATTCATGTCTCTGTCTTCTAATCTATCCACTAAATAATAAGAATTGAATTCCACAGAAACCAAGATGTACATATATCAAAATATGTGCTATTTATTCTCAAGCCAGCTATACAGCAGGGTCCGGTTGCAGGAAGCTTGGAATAACGATATCCATTGGATAACAATTTTTTAAACTTTTATAAAACCTTTTAAAAAGCAAAAAATATAAGATTCGAACTGAGCAATCACTGAAATAAAACATTGTTTCGAAGATTACGAAATTTGTCGTAAGAAAAGTATAAACACCTTTTTTAAAAGTTCGAAAATTTTTGCTATCCAATGGATAACGCTATCCAGGCTTCGTCCAACCGGCCCCAGCTAAATAAACAACGACTAAGTACCTATACGCCGCACGAGAAACCAGTAAAACTGGTAGAGGATAATTTGAACAAAACCGGTTTCTTTTATCAGTCTCGGACTCGCTGCCACCGTGGTCGTCATGATTGGCTCTTTCGGTACACGAGTAGTCATTGTGATGGGTAGTTTGGAAACTAGAGCCCAAGCCACTATTGATGTAGCGCGACACCGGATTAAATTCTAGCTCCAAGCTTGAACGATAGGAACAAGTTTCTTCCAGTAAACGGAAATCACAATACTTCAAGGATCTAGAAACACATATTTAATGTAAATACAATTTCTAGCGTAGAGATGAAGAGAAACTATCAACAAATCCAATCTGTTCGCAATTCCTTCATACGCTGTGAAATTCAACCTAGGCCAGAAACTGTTGTTAATGTACAACACAAACACAATACACCACCTGGGAAAGGTGTCATTGCTTCTTTCCTTGCCGCTGACCACAACCATGCAAGGAAGATCTAGCAAATCCTCGTAACATGTCGGATACCAATCGGACTCCAAATCAGCATCCTCGACTGTGAATTTGAAATACCGTCACAAATGGTCAATTGACAAAAACGCGCATTCTCGGCTTAAGTATTTAAATTCTCCCCCACCTTGTACGGATCTCCAAACTCTCAATCTGAGCAGGAAATTTTCTTCGATTTTCAAATCAGATTCACCATCATCGAAAATAATGGCGAAGCGATACTGAAGACCAACTCTACAAAGCAAACAAAGGTTGGTTAGAGTCACAGAAGATTCCATGATCCCGGATACCACACACATTCCCACCTGTCCCGTATATCCTTCAGTTTACCATAAGCCCACAAAGCGAGCACTTGATTCGGTATACGGATTACCAACATGGAACCGCGACCAGCGGTATTCAACAAAGGATACTCAATTATATCTCGCACAACTTGAAGTGTTTTGAAAGTACAATGAGGTTCAACAGACCGCAGACCAGCAGCCCACATGATCGCAGTCGTATAATGATGAACTAACACATAGCAACGAACAATGTTGGAAGGAACAGTGCTTAGACAGTTGGCACGCAGCACCATGACCTCGAACTCGTCGTCTTCTCGTATCAGAGGGATTTGGTGTGTCCAGCTGAGAGTTTCTATGTACTCGGGCATCCCAAAATGTACCAGATTGTCCTCGCTATTTAATAAGTTCTGATCCGACGGCGAAGATGGAACTGCAAAATAAAATATTTCGAAAATCCTTCCCAATTTCCTTAAATATTTTGCAAAATGTTTGGAATAATGGAAACAACGAGCCAGTCTTTAAGTGGTCAACTTGAAGACTCAATAAAGCTCATCTTTTATTGATCCAGTGTTACTACAGAAAGAAACCTAAACTAAACTAACTTTATTTATACTAGATATCTCTATCAGTTCTAAACTGTTCTTTCTAAAGATCCAGAAAAGATCATCTTTTATTGATCCAGTGTTACTACAGAAGGAAACCTAAACTAAACTAACTTTATTTATACTAGATATCTCTATCAGTTCTAAACTGTTCTTTCTAAAGATACAGTAAAGATCATCTCTTATTGATCCAGTGTTACTACAGAAGGAAACCTAAACTAAACTAACTTTATTTATACAAGATATCTCTATCAGTTCCAAACTGTTCTTTCTAAAGATCCAGTAAAGATCATCTCTTATTGATCCAGTGTTACTACAGAAGGAAACCTATACTAAACTAATTTTATTTATACTAGATATTTCTATCAGTTCTAAACTGTTCTTTCTAAAGATCCAGTAAAGATCATCTCTTATTGATCCAGTGTTACTACAGAAGGAAACCTATACTAAACTAATTTTATTTATACTAGATATTTCTATCAGTTCTAAACTGTTCTTTCTAAAGATCCAGTAAAGATCATCTCTTATTGATCCAGTGTTACTACAGAAAGAAACCTAAACTAAGCTAACTTTATTTATACTAGATATCTCTATCAGTTCTCACAACAGAAAACCTCGTTATCATGTCCTATGCCTATCATCATAACTAATCATGCTGTGTACCTACAAATTCCCCAGGGTCACTCCAGAAAACCTCGTTATCAGGTCGTATTCTCGACTCGCTGGTTTGAAACAGATAAGGAACGGGCGTGACCAGTAAGATTAAAGTATTTGGCAAACGTGAAAGTTCTTGAAACGATGGTAAACTAGTCGCAATTTCGGGTGTAAAATACAGATGGGCTTCGTCACAAACCAAAACGAAAAGAACATCAGGTCTGGACTTGCCACTCGAAAGAAAATCCTTCATTTTCTGCCTCGTTTCCTCAGAACCGTCATTTCTATGAAAGAAGTTAAGAAACGGAGATTAACAGGAATTTATTTTCTCATTCATGATGAAAATTGGTGATTCTTCAGCTTGATGTGAGCGCGCTTCATGTAGGAAAATACTTAGGCGAGGAAATAAACGAAACGCGAAAAATCGTAGCTTTAATGTTTTATCTTAAAGAAAGCAAAGGGACACGAAAAAGAGTTTTTAACTAAATATACCAATGACTTTGCCTGCTTTATGTTATTCTCATTTTAGCAATCGATCAATCAATCATCTTCCTCACTATCACCCCCCGGCAAGCCACAGTAATTTAACCTCAGATCAATCAATCATCTTCCTCACTATCACCCCCCGGCAAGCCACAGTAATTTAACCTCAGATCAATCAATCATCTTCCTCACTATCACCCCCCGGCAAGCAACAGTAATTTAACCATACATCACTTAATCATCTTCCTCACTATCACCCCCCGGAAAGCCAGAGTAATCAGTAATTTTACTATTCATCATTTAAGCATCTTCCTCACTATCACACTCCCCGGCAAGTCACAGTAATTTCACCCTAATTTCACACAATTTAAAATTGCTGACATGCTCTTACAAAACACCCGAAGTCATGGACATACTGGGGCTGGTAGATGAAAATATTAGCCTACACACTAAAAATACTAAGTATGTATATGAGAGTCATTCGGCGAACACGACCTTTGAGAAAGAAGTATTGTTAAGGGAAAAAAAACAAAGTTAATCTTCAAAACATACGTTACAATACGATCTGAAGAAAACCCGGAGTTGCTCGACTGCGTCGGTAGACTGAGACCCAGTTCAATAAGAATATTGGATCGATGTACTTGATGTACGACCTGATGAAAATAGGATCGAGCTGGTGGAAGCACGATATGAAATTCCACTGAAGTAAAATGACGCAGTTCGTACGCGGGCGCTCCGTCTTTCGACGTCAAAACGCAGGAAAGAAGATGATTGGCTGACGCAACCTGTGGCGAATTTAGCTTCTGTTCGTTGTAACGAAAACTAAAATCTCGAGTTAATTTTGGTATCATGAGCAAAGCTTCTTTCCTTGTCGTCTTCACCATGGAACTTCCATTGAAAGGAAGAAAAATACGTTGGGTTTTCGCCATAGTTTCATCAACCTGTTTCATAAGATCGTCAATGGCGTTGTTCACCATGTTATAGGCTCGGTTCAGGCTACTCACGTGGTCGTCCAACTGAACTGTAGTGAGTAAGCTGGACTGCTCGTTGACAAGTCTTTCTTGGATTAACTTCGATTGGTTGACGCCTAAGATATCATGGAAAACAGCGAAGAGAACTTTTCAATTACACAGACATCTCTCTCTAACATAAACATCTCTCTCTAACATAAACATCTCTCTCTAACATAGACATTTCTTTCTAACATAAACATCTCTCTCTAACATAAACACTTCTTTCTAACATAGACATCTCTCTCTAACATAAACATCTCTCTCTAACATAGACATTTCTCTCAAACACAAACATCTCTCTCAAACATAGACATTTCTCTCAAACACAAACACCTCTCTTAAACATAGATATATCCCTCGAACAAAGACATTTCTCTGTAGCATAAGAATCTCTCTCTCTAACATAGCTAGAAATCTCTCTCTAGAATAGACATCTCTTACACAAACATCTTTCTATATCACGAACAACAGCTTTTTCTCTTCTATAAATGTCTCTTTTTAGTCTCTTATAAAAACATCACTATCCGTTAGAGTCGCCACTGATCTCAGTACAGTTACCTCGCACCTACACTGATCTCTAGTACAGTTACCTCGCATCTACACTGATCTCTAGTACAGTTACCTCGGATCTACACTGATCTCTAGTACAGTTACCTATCATCTACACTGATCTCTAGTACAGTTACCTCGCATCTACACTGATCTCTAGTACAGTTACCTCGCACCTACACTGATCTCTAGTACAGTTACCTCGCATCTACACTGATCTCTAGCACAGTTACCTCGGATCTACACTGATCTCTAGTACAGTTACCTATCATCTACACTGATTTCTTGTACAGTTACCTATCATCTACACTGATCTCTAGCACAGTTACCTATCATCTACACTGATCTCTAGTACAGTTACCTATCATCTACACTGATCTCTAGTACAGTTACCTATCATCTACACTGATCTCTAGTACAGTTACCTCACATCTACACTGATCTCTAGTACAGTTACCTCTTATCTACACTGATCTCTAGTACAGTTACCTATCATCTACACTGATCTCTACTACAGTTACCTCTTATCTACACTGATCTCTAGTACAGTTACCTATCATCTACACTGATCTCTAGTACAGTTACCTCACATCTACACTAATCTCTAGTACAGTTACCTATCATCTACACTGATCTCTTGTACAGTTACCTATCATCTACACTGATCTCTAGCACAGTTACCTATCATCTACACTGATCTCTAGTACAGTTACCTATCATCTACAATACTGCCGCCACTTTATTTATACATACCAGTGACCAAAATGCAAAATTCTGGTGTCTGTGATGCAGGACTGGACACGAGTAGTAAATAATGCGGTACTTGAAGTTTTATCTCCCTGTTTTGGTTATGTTTGGATATTTGAAAGAGAAAACCAAGACCTTTTCGTACAGCGTCGTCTATGGACAACACGGACGAGACGAGTTTCACTGCACCTTTTGATGGAAGGGTTGCCACGCTTGTGAAATGAAGTAAGTTGGTTGAATCTAGCGGGAAAATCATCGTTAAAACTTAAAGTAAAATCATCACAATCCGTAGTAGAATCCACGAGAAAATCTGAATAGTCCATTGGAAAGTTTTAATCAATATAATATTTGTAAAACAATCCATTGGAAAATATGATCAATGTAACATTTCCAATAGTACTAAACAGTTCTCTGACCAACTGAGCTATGAAGTCACACAGTGGTGAGCAGGTCAATATTGTTGGGCTCATGTTTTCTCGTGAAAGGAATGTCGTATGAATGTTTTATGAAGTGCGGTATTTGAAATTAAATCAAGATATGATCTTCGCACTTTGCTGGACAATTTAAGCAATCGTCTCAGGACCTGAAAAAATCAGGTGACTCAACGGGATGTTGTACTAAACAGTGATAAAAATCTGTCAGAAAACATCAAAACGAACGTTTAACATAAAGACTCCGGGCTTCACCCTATGGAATAACTACACTTAATAATTAAACTAAATCTTGTAGTAAAATGACTTTTTTCCAAGGCCAAATACCATGAGCTTACCAATTGCGAGAAAAAAAGGTTGAATTGTAGAATTTTCTTGATGCGTTTGCCAAAAAAGTTCCTTGCTGTTCTGAAACAACTGATGAATTTCCTCCTTTGAAATCGTAGCATTCTCGGGTAACGTCGACAGGTATTGCGCAATAAGGATGATGACGACGTTCACCGATAGCTGTGGCGAGGAATAGCCACTAGGCGATTGGACTGACCTCGTAATCTCAACTGGATGGTTGAAAGCAGGACGCGAATGTTGGTTCCGACCTGAATAGTGAGTATTTCTTATTATAAAATAAAAACAATAAAATGCGCACGCTGATTGGTCTAGAGCCGTGTTTGCATTGCCTGTGCCAAACACATTTGAGCTCAACCAATCAAATCAATCAAAACAATCAATCAGACAATGAGAATTTGCAAATCGATCATGAATACATTTTAGACGAAAAATTAAATGTTTGACTTTTTTCGCATTATTCTTATTTCATAAAAGAAATAAAGATGTTTTTCGTGTTTGCACTGGCTTATGCAAACCTCGGAGACGTTTGTGAGAACCCTCGAGCATGTGCAAACTTCGACTTTCGGTCTCAGGCTTGCACTGATCTGCTCTCGAGTTCTCCCAAAGGTCTCCTCAGTTTGCATATGCCTGTGCAAGCACAGTAAACATCTTTTATTTCTTAAATGAAGAAGCTTGCTAAAAATTTTGGTCCACCCTCCTTGAGCTTCAATAGTACTTTAAGTGGACTCAGAAAAGAGTAAGGCTTTTGGGCAAGACGATCAACACATTTTTACACATTTACCGGGGGGGGATAAACCCTAAAAGTTAATTCTTTCTACACACCTACAGCCATCGGTCGTTTCAAGAAGTTGAAGCAATCAAACAGCATATCAGATACAATGATATCCTTGTGGGAAGTAATGAAATGCGGGGGTACGATGGGATAACCAAGGATAAGGACGGGTCTTACACCACACACTTCTTCTAACCATGCATGATGTCCAGTGAATGTTGTTTCTACAAACAAAACAAAAAACAAAATATTCCTTTGATGCACTAGATGAATGTGGTGAATAAGATGTATCAATGAACATGTTGGGTAATGAGAGTAATGAGCATGTTGGGTAATGAGGTTAATGAACATGCTGGGTAATGAGGGTAATGAACATGCTGGGTAATGAGGGTAATGAACATGCTGGGTAATGAGGGTAATGAACATGCTGGGTAATGAGGGTAATGAACTTGCTGGGTAATGAGGTTAACGAACATAGGGTTATATGGCAAATTCACCCATTAATTTGCTGTGCAAGTTATCCACACATGTCGTATTGAATGCTGAATGGTCTGGTTTGGTGTAGGATGGTGTGGAATAATGTGGTGTGGGATGGTGTGTTGTGGAACGGTGTGATGTGGGAAGAGATGGTTTTAAAGTGGCAGTGGGATGAGATGAGGGTGATGTGGTACAGATGAGGGTGGTGTGGTACAGATTGGGATGGGGTGATTGAATGAGGTTGGATGGTGTGGTGTGGGGTAAAGGTGAGGTAGGATGAAATCTGGTAATTTATGGAGGGGTGATTAAAGGTGAGGTAGGATGTGATGTGATGATATAAGATGGGATAGCATGAGATATTATGGACAGCAAGAACGATGAACAACACTTGAACGCAGAATAAGGTTTAACTTCGCCCTAACAGACATGTACGATACTTTCAATCTCTGCATAACATCTAACCTTCTTCTCTGCTTCTTTTCAACATAGGCGGAGTAAAGGATGGATCACGTGACGAACTGCTGTCACATGATGACGGTGAACTAGTCGAGGATCTGCCTTCTCTTATTGGATGACGTTGAATAGGATAAACTTCGCTAATTTTTGGTGTGATGCCGCTGTCCATTGATGATTGATCACATGTAGAGAAGGTATATGTTCGCTTGCGAGGATTCTCCGCTGACATAAAATACGGACAACGCATGTTAGTGTGTACGCATGCGTAGCTTTGGAATTATTTGGGAAAGCTTGGAAGACTTTCAACAAGAGAAAGGATGCAATATTTTAGTAATCCTGAGAATATTTTACCATAAAGTGAATGGTTCGAACCCAGGGACCGGTTGCACGAAGCATGGATACTGTTATCAATTAAATAGCAAATTTTTTTAAACGGTTGAAAAACTTCTTGAAAAGAAAAAATATAAGGTTCGAACTGAGCAATCACCGAAATAAAATCGTGCTTCTTTGATGACAAAATTTCTTTGTCGTCATGAAAATATATAAACCTTTTTACAAGTTTGAAAATTTACTATCCAATGAATAACGCTATCAAAGCTTCGTGCAACCGGCCTCTGGTGTATATTTCCATGTTTGTACATGTAGATCGTCCAGGTTAGTACATTCATGAAAATGACTGTTGGTAAAAGTGGCGTGGCCAGTTTGATAAGTGAGGGGGATTATATTCATAAATTCATGCTTTTCCGTATTACGTTCTTTTGAAATCAATTGTTTTTAAGGGATTACAACATGAAAATATGAATATTGTCCCCCTCACTTACTTATCGAGCTTGTGACGTCACTGGTTGATGACGTCACTGGTCGGTGACGTCACTGGTTGGTGACGGTATTAGCTGATGCCTTGATATTCTTAGCAGCAGTCAGATCATCAGAATCTTTAGAGTGACGTCAACCAAGGGCTCGGAAAGCCATTGGAGTCTAGGTGTCCCATTGAAGCCATATCTAACACCCAGACACGCGAGATTTTACCTCAGACACGCGTGTGTAGTGTTACAAGATTCTCTCGCGGAGTGATAATTGATTGACTACACTCGCATGTCCGGGGTAAAATGACGGCTTCAAAAAATTATTAAGGTTTTGTATTACAGGTAGCGTTCCATGTATTTTAGTTCAATGTTTCAACCATACACAGAGGAGGAAATGACTTTTCACCTCGGCAACATTGATGATGTCATTTCCTGTTGAGGGTGTCCAGACAGCCACAACGACAATAAAATAAAAAAAACTAAGATCAAACAGTTTCATCGCAACATCAACTGTAATGTGTCATCATATATTGAGCATGAACACTCAAGTCTGAACCATAAAATTCAAAAGCTTCTAAACCCCAGCATTCAACACCAACATCAATAGTCATTCCCAGGAGTACACTAGGGAGTTTACGATTAGCGATGCGTCCTTCCATGATGACGTATGGGAGACTGGGTTCTAGCGCGGTCAGTGCGTTGTCGTTTCAGATCAAATGTTACGATTCGACAACTCGACGTGGCGCAAAGGGCTCGAAATATTGCATATATTGTCAAACATCATCTTTATAGGTTGAAACTGCACGAAATCATGGTATAAACTTAAAGGAAAGTAGCGTTATTTTGATCAACGTTTTTGCAGGAAGTTTGCCTCTGAAATCCTACGTTGCCTTCGCGACGTGAACATGCCCAATTTAAGTTGTAGAACGATTGATGACAACCCGGCAAACGGCATGACAACGCAACCGCGCTAGAACCCAGTCTCCCATACGTCGTCTTCGATAGACGCGTCGTGGATCGTAAACTCACTACATACCTCACCTGGACGATCTACATCAACAAAAATGTAACATTTTACGAAGTCCTTCATTGCAACACGAGCAGTGCTTTTGACAGCCACCACCAAATTCAAACTGGTTTGCTATACCCTGTCAATCGAGCCCGCAAATTAGTCCTGCTATGTTAATTTTTCTGTGTTCACTTACTGTAAAAACAACAGATTTCTAAAGAAGTGAATAATGTTAATGATATAAAATTTACATAGCAGGACCAAAACTTGCGGGCTGGCTTCGCTTGGGGGCTGGCTATGCTTGCAGGCTGGCTACGCTTGCGGGCTGGCTACGCTTGCAGGCTGGCTACGCTTGCGGGCTGGGTATGCTATTGAAATTGATAAACAACAAAAGACAAAAAATACCATTTTCATAGTAACTTACACACAGACGACCGCCACATGATACGAGGACCGCGACACAATCTCCCCATGCTATCTTTGACGATATAAAACTTCAAGTGCTTTTGTTTTTTTGGTTGCGTAGCCAACAACAGGTTGATGTGAGTGGCAAATTCAGTGAAGTAGCGAAAGTTCGCTTCACCACAGCCGACACAGCAACCGGAGAAACCAAGAACTGTGGGTGTCGAGTCGTCCGTTGGTAGGAACCTGCGGTCAACCGCCGTAACAATAATGGCTTTACCAAGCAAGGGTGATTTAGCACCGGCCAGTACCATACCAGGTGGTACCTCGATGTTGAGACCATGCTGCGAAAGGTGGTTCAAGGAAACTGGTTTACCATTCACGCAAAAGCCTGAAGACAAGAATAGATGTCAGAACGTCACTATTCAACATTCCTTCACGCAATTTTTCTGTTCACACCTGGTTGTTTGAAGCTACCCTTCTGATTTGGAGGATTTTCGTCAGTTGCCATGGGAACGAGGTCACGATGGTTGGCATTCAGTAGAGTTCCTGAAGATAAATGTTGCCATGGCAACAGTCGTCACTCGACGTGACACAGGTTACTTATAGTTACTCCTGTTGCTAGTGGTTGCACATGTTCACATGTTGCTATGATAGAGCATTTTGCCATGGTAGAACATGTTGCTATGGTAGTACATGTTGCTATGTAGTACATGTTGTTATGGTAAAACATGTTGCTATGGTAATGCATGTTGCTATGGTAGTACATGTTGCTATGGTAGTACATGTGGCTATGTAGTACATGTTGCTATGGTAAAACATGTTGCTATGGTAATAGATGTTGCTATGGTAGAACATGTTGCTATGGTAGTACATGTTGCTATGTAGTACATGTTGCTATGGTAATACATGTTGCTATGGTAGAATATGTCGCTATGGCAAAACACGTTGCTATGGAAAAACATGTTGCTACAGTAGAACACATTCTTATTGTGGAATATGTTGCTATGGCAACACATACTAGAGAATGATTACAATTTTTGGAGACAAAATGTTACACAAACTAAACTTTATAAACAATTCTCTGTTTTAATACTATTTACTTAAATACATGATTTTTACCTGAAGTATTGGACCTTTGTGCAGGTTGTATAGCAATTGCTGGCTCAAGATCAGCTTGGCATGAGGGAGAACCATCATCAGGCGGCCAACACATGGAATATATCTGATCAGCCATTTTACTTGTTGTCTTCTTGTTCACAATTCAACTTCATTTTTCGAGTTTTGTTTAATGGGACTAGACACTCAAATCATTTGGTTCCTTTCATCATCGAAATATAATTTCCTCATAATGAAGCTCAGTAACTTTCTTTAAAGTCATCCATCTAACTGTGGCCAACTTTGTTCTTAGGAAAATTAGAAACTGATATAAATTTTCATTACAAAATTTCATTCACAATAATCCTCACCTTCTTTCGTACATTTTCTATCCAGTCCCCCCCCCCATCGACTTGTTACCACCCCCCGTGTCACATATATCATCGTCAACCCCCCCTGCTTCGATGAAACAATGCAAATCCAAACAGGAAAAACGCTATCAATACGAAGAAACGGAACACATTCTTATGCTAAGAACTTTTAAGAATGAAAAACAGATATTAGCATACTGCAGTATTGGCTTCCGACAAGCTATCATGATACAATACAACAATATAGCCTTTTTATGTTTAACTTATGAGTAAAAAAGCTAAAAAACGCTTTTTCTCGAACGATATATTGCTGCGATCAAATAATGGAGGGGAATACAGTTAAATCCAGCTTAAATTGGTGAATTTTGCGGTATAATTTGGTCATGTTTTAAAACTCGCAGGCGACTTGGATTGAAGGTCCAATATCTGAATGTCAAAATTACCAAGTCAATGAGTCATAAAAAAATACTTGGAAGTTAAAAAAATACAATAAAACAGCTGATTCGAAATTCTCCTTTTCTATTCGAGATACGGCGAGGATTTATCAAAAATTTCACGGTGACCAAGGTCGATAACCGCTAACCAGAGATAATTATCTTGAATGGCGCTCGATAATCATTCGGACAGATGCTATTTTCATCAATTTGCAGCTTCCTTTGAAAAAGAATCATAATAACCTTTCCCCTGGCTTCGCAATTCTTTCAAAACGGAAAAGCCAAGAAACCAAAACTATTTATTGCGGTTCTCTCATATAATATTCAAATATATTTGTAAGACGAGCCTGTCCCACGGTCCAAATTACTCGTCCCTGGTGGGCACATTACTAAGTCTCTTTTTATGTCTTATTTAAACAACTATGTAGTCGGGAGATACTGTACGGGCCCTTTAATAATTAAACTAAAAACGCTAAAGCCTTTTCGGATGTTGTTCACAATGTACTCTTGTTCCGAAACCGTCAATTTTAAATGTGAAATCCTGATGAAGGAACGCCGCTCAGGATGCCGATTTTTCACATGCCATAAAACGACGTTAGTTTAAAAGGGGATCCGTAGTTTCTTTCGCCTCTTTTGGTACAATATGTCGATATTTTGTCCGCAATCTTGCGCTGTTGTTCTTCACACGAAGGCGCAGTTTCTTATACGATACAGACTCCATCGAAATATTCGCCACAATATTAAAAACTAAACTTGCTATATTATACTTTTCATGTCCGCTTATAAAACATGACTTACTCGTTCAACATTTAGGAAACTTGTGTTGTACAAGAACAAAATTATGGTTGAAACTTAAAAACCGTGGAACAGGTTGCGGGGAAAATGGCTAATCAAGATATGAAGATATGTCATATTGTTCTATCGCCACGATTGAAATACATAGCCTTTGTTGACAAAAGTGTACGCACAGTTATTTGAAATTCTCTACTTTTTACAACCGAGCTAATCTGTATCGATGAAATAAATAAAATAAGCAATACTTACACGATAAGCTGATGAACTTGAAAAGCTGTATCAAGAAAATAGTCAGGAGGTCGTGAAAAAAGAATCTAGTTTCTTTCACAATACCAGACCGCATGTACTTCGCCAATTTCGACGTTGTCTCGCGTGTCAGACTTGACGGCTAATACGGACGGGGACGCCGGTCTCGTCTTCTGATTGGTTGACAGCTGTTCTTGGTCGCGCTCCAGACAATAAATACCTCGCAGGTCTGTGTAATTCAATGTTTTGTTATATACTAAATGGTTTGAGCCCGGGAGTATCGTTACATGTTTGTAAATGTAGATCGTCCAGGATGTTTTGTTATGATAACCAAAGCAGGAGCTCGTTTATAGTTTTACTTTGTGAAAGTTGATTTTCTGTGCAAGCAAGCAAAGTCAGAAGTGTTGAGCACGAAATGAATATGTTTAATTATTCCAGTCAAATATTTCATGGTGGCCCCACAGATAGTTGACCCAAGTGAATATGAGGTCCAATTGACCAAGAACAAAGTCAGCGTCTTTCATAATATTTTTAATTGCTAGGTCTCGAGTCCGAAATCATCCTTTCAATATGTAACTGCGGCAAAACGAAACAAAATATCAAAGCACTTGAATTTTATCGCAGCATTTTTCTAATTGAAAATTATACAAAGCATCTTTTGTACGCAATGACGTTCCGCGCCATAAGGCCCAAACAATTGTTTCATATTTAGATGAGTTGCGTTGACAAAACAGACAGCAATTTTCAAAAACACTGTCGTCAAAATAGATCAAATTCCGCTGTAATCACGAAACTGTTGGCATAACTTTTCGTACTTCAAAAAGTAAGCTTGCATCGTTTGTATATCAGGAGTCATTTAGAAGGTACGTCCTTATAAATTGTTGTTTCTCGCAGTAAAAATTTAACAGTAAGGCAGCCCAAAATATATAAGCCTTTCAGACGCTTCAAAGTGTCAAATAACAACACGATACATTATTTAGGTACATTGCTAATGAGTTCAGCAAGTTTCTTATTCAACTCTTATAAAGAGATTTCCCCATTTTTTGATTATGAATAAAAACATCCTGTCGAGTCAGCCATGATCCGTTTTTGATGATATTTTATAAATTGTATTCTACGAGTAAAATTTGAAATGACGCAGCAAAAATTTCGTTTTAGGATCAAAATGAATTCAAGACTTCTTCAAATTTGTATAATCATTGTTCTTTTGGGTAAGATTACGTTTATAACTTGAACGCAAAAGCTCACACTATGTGATTTGCATCTTTCGTTAAATCTCGGTGATATAAGTTTTGATATTGAACCATTATTTTGCGTTTGTTTCAGATATGCAAATAACATAAATTGTCAAATGCCATAAAGTTCGTCTTTATGCGAGCTTAAAGAATACATTTTTTACGAGTATTCTCATTTTGACGAGCAAAAATATTCTCCAAAAAAGAAGCGACATTTCTTTTTCTTTTTTGACTTAACCAAACCAAATAGGGCACGAGAGTCAGTATGACCTTATTGACCTATCTTCAATAAATTGAGTTTTGACAATGTGTACTTTACGAAAACAAACACCTGCATGTTTAACATAGTACAAAAAGTACACAACGAAAATAATGCTGTTTGAATTATAGTCTTTTGAACGGAGTCTTTAAGGGGGTGTTTACATGAATCCGGAATGACTTTCAATCCCGATCGAAACGTGATGTCAATCCGTGTTTACATGGGAAATCAAAACAAGGATTGACATTTCGCGGGAATTTTAAAATTTGACGATGGAGAACATAAACATTATAGCAACCCTTTTTTTCTGTTGCTCCTGCGTTAATACAGCTTAACACTTGCATGAAACTAATTGTCGTTTTTCTTCGCACTCACCCTAAGGGGGTGTTTACATGAATCCGGAATGACTTTCATTCCCGATCGAAACGTGATGTCATTCCGTGTTTACATGAAACTAATTGTTGTTTTTCTTCGCACTCATTTTAACCCATTTAGCCTCTTTATTTACTCACGAGCTTCAATTTGCCAGAAGACAATACCCATGGCACATGCGTGCTTCGTCATTAATCACAATATCATTCCAGAATGAACTCAATTCGCGTTTACATGAGATAAAAAGTAAATTTCGATCCGGAATGAAACTAGGAATGAACTCGATCCGGATCGAGTTGTGACTCATTCCGGATTCATGTAAACATGCAATAGGATTTCTTTTAAAGTGGAATGAGTTCATTCCGGATCGAAACTCATTCCGGATTCATGTAAACACCGCCTAAGATGAAAGTGTGCTTTCTAAAATATTACTTTGCTCAGGTGGAGTTTCCTATTCGAGTCCCTATCTTTGTGCACTGTCATGACATAAAATTCTACCGGAGCAACACATGGAGAAAGTTGCCAAGAAACTAACGAAAATTTGACATTACAATAGAATATTCCTGAATTGTTTCACCAAATCTGTTGTCATTTTAGAAATTCTTTTCAATGCGAAATAGAATTCAAACAGCGAACTCTTTAAAAGTAGCAACATATTTTTTGGTATCGACGATTCAACAACATCTTCGATAAAACTTTTGTTTTTTTAGGCGCACTCTATCAACACGCAACGGCAAGAGAAGGTAATAGACGATATCATTTGAACCAAAAAAACGTTTTATACAAAAAAGAGAAGCATAAAAAAAGTCGTAATCCATTTTATCTTGTTTAGCGACCAAAGATGACATTGATGATATTGGCGGTTTATTGACCGGAGTCATCGTCTTGATGAGTGTCGGAATTGTGTTGATTTTGATCATTGGTGCCGTTATGTTTGCAATGTAAGCGCGTAAATACTGCTAATTTCTTATTCAAAATACCATTTTACGTCGCCATAGTTATGGATTGTAAAAGAAGACATTGTTATGGTTCTTTTACTATAAAAAATATACAAAAAGAACCTTTTCCCGCTAGATAAATTATCATAAATGAGCGTCCCAGTTAGTCTCTAAAAGCCCAATTGCGATTGTCCTGTTTGTATACGACAACATAGGCAATCTTTTAATCTGCTTAACACGATAAAGTTACCAAAAAAAAAACGTTGATGATCAGTGAATGAAACTGTTGATATTCACTCATCGTTTTCCGAGTACCGAACAAAACAAAGCATGATTTACAGATGGGATATTTGAACTTTCAAAAGAATTTTTTATACGGGTCATTTTGCTTTGAATTCTTACCAATAAAAGTTGGAGAATTATTTAAAAATTAAAAAGTGCCATGATTCGGCGACTTTTGTCAAATCAGGTATTCCAAGTTTCCCATAATGCCTCTTAATAACGATGTTTCCTCTTTTACCAGGAGATGATCGTCTGACAATGTTTACCATCTTTCAAGATCACGTACATACAATATAGCTACATTAGCCTTTGAATAACAATGCATACTCTTTGTGTGTAATTATAAAACATAATTTACTCGCATGCAGTTTTAGAAATTGTATTTTTTTATGAGCCAATAAACATATTCTTTGAATTACAAGTTTTTTGTAAGTATAATAATAAAGACAATTCTTTATTTCTCATGTGGCAACGTCTCATAAAATATCTGATTAGAGGAGAAAAAGAATGGGCACCAGATAGCCGTTAATATAAATAGCTTTAATAGTCACAGGAATTCGTAAATAAAAAGGTTACGGGCTCTTTCGTATCACATCATATCCGTAACATGACGTAACTCTAAGCATGCGCAGTTTACATGTGAACTTACAAATATAGAAAGTTCATCCGATGTGACGTAACTGTGAGCATGCGCAGTTTACATGTGAACTTACAAATATAGAAAGTTCATCCGATGTGACGTAACTGTGAGCATGCGCAGTTTACATGTGAACTTACGAATATAGAAAGTTCATCCGATGTGAAGTTTCTGTAGACTGTAGTGACATATATGTCTTGAATAAATTTTGATACGCTCCATAGGCTAGACTCTGTAAACTCAAGGGCAGACAAAATCTTTCAAAACGTTAAAACCATCCAGATATGGTTAGGTGAAATCATTTAAATAATTGACAATTTTCTTCCAAATATATTCCGTTATATGTCCAGTATCATAACCCAAACGTTTATAGAGCAACGAGTCGAGTGGATCTTCCCGTTTCTTATGTAGACCGTAGAATTTTGACGCTAAACTTGCCAATATCACAACGTTCAACAAACGCAATATTTCGCCAAAAAATGCGAGTCGGGTGCACATCCGGAAAAAGAAACCTATCGGAGGGAAGTACTGGGAGAATGATACTATAGTATAGCTGGATACGGAGAAATAAGACAAAACGCCGGCAAGGAGGTAGGCGATAGGGAATAGAGAAAGTAGTACAGTACAATCCAAGGCTAGTTTCACAGCATGATAACTGTGAGTTTTAATGATACACCTCTCCAAATCAGATTCTCGCCAAATGACTCCCGTCACGTGATCGATGCATGCCCGGATCTCGATTAGGTAGCCCGTGACGTCAGTGACAAGCCACAACCCGAACAATACGGAGAGCATTTCCGCAGAGCCTTGCAAACGTCGAGAGATGAAGGTTGTGAGAAGAAAATTAGAAATGACGCCTAAAACAAAGCAGAGAAGAATTCCGGCCAAAATAATCGCGACGGTTCGAACAGGTCGCCAAATTTTTCGAAGAAGTAAATACACGAGACGTGATGTAAGATAAACGAATACAGTAAAAGCGAGAAAGAAACTGGTATGATGAGCTTCACGAAGTAAAGATTTCACATCGTTCGCCGTAACAAACTCCTTGAATGTCAACTCAAGTTCCCTTTCTAACACCTCATGCTCCTTAATGCCAATCTTATCACCTTGTGCCACACGTGTCACGGCATACGCGTTCAGCACGCTCTCCTTTAGTTGCACGTGAACATCACGCATTCGCTCCAGGTCCTTCGCGTACCGAAGTTTTTCGATCTCCCGCTCGTACATGACTCTGAACTCTAAAACACGTGGATCGCGGGAACGCGTGTATTTCTGAAACTCGGGTTCTTTAGAGCCGTATTTGAACCAGACACTGGATGCAAGCAACAACAACGTCACAAGAATTTCGGTCGACAGAATATAAAATGCAAACAAAACTACAATCAGGCAAAACCCACGAAACACAGGATTAGCCAAAACTTCAGAGAGCAAGGTACTATCTTTGTTTTTGTACGATTTGTAAACGTTAGCCAAATTAGTATAAGTCTCCTTCATCTTTATTTTATACTTCTCGAACTTATTATCGTCGTTTTCTGTTACAATTTCAACTTCAGAAATCTCATCCCCAGCCTTCGCCGCGTTCATCTTCGCATTGTTTTTGCTCGTTTTGTCGCCGTGTTTGTTCGGCAACCGTCGGGATTCGTCGTTCACCGGGATTTTAACCGACGATTTCTGTTCCTTCTTTACGTTAGACCGCGGGCCAACTTCGTTTTTCAACGATTTGCTGTCAGATTTTAGAACTCTCGAGTTTCTTTTAGAAGCGTTTTGTTCGTTCTTTTGAATTTTCGATTCTCTCCTAGCTACACCATCGCTCTTTGGTGATTTTATTTCTTTTTTCACTGGTTTACTAACCGTTTTATCATCTTTCTTTGCGAGTTTTTCTGTGGCGTTTCTAGAAATCTTTCTCAATGACTTTTTTTCCATTGACTTCGCTCCTTCCTTTATCTTCTCCCCATCAGTTTTATCCTCAACACTTTCATTTTCAAGCTTATCCTCAGCTGCCTTTCTCTCCCTCTTACCATCGACCTTATCTTCGGCCGTAATCTGTTCACTTTCAGGAAGTGACGTCACATCTTTAATAATCGAATCTTCGTAACCATTCTTGACCACGTGCTTTAGAATTCTCTTCTCAAACGTCATAAAATGGCATTCATCCTTATGCCATTGCAGGACGACCAAATCGGTTGCCAAGTAACGAGTCCACGTGCCTTCGAACCCAGACTTCCAGCCACAATCCTCAGCTTCCATTTTTGGATACATCACCAGAACTCTGTTTACAGTTTGTAGTTTAAGAAAAGCATTTGACAAGGTTTTGTCACAAAGGTCTTCGGGACGAGGGTATGGAACATCACACAAGTTCAGTAAAAGATTCTCGAAATCTGTGTTCTTTACCGCATTTTGAATATCATCGATTATCCCTTTCTGACACAGTTCTTTCAACTGAGATCCATCTGGATCGCCTGTAATCTCAACTTTCCGAGTCTTGAATCGCATATCCCCAAGAAATACTGAATCGGCTTCGGTCTCTGATGATTCTTTCATCTCACTGTATTCTTCGTATTTTAACTTCCAAACATGAGCCTCATCTTCAATGATGAAAACAGGGGAAGACACAATATATACATCCTCGCCAATCGAGAAGAGCGTTTTGAATTCTGAGTTGATAGTTTTATCCAATAGAGATTGTTGTAACACTTTATAACCATGCAAACGTATTGCTGTTGCAAGAAGGTTGGCACGGTCAGCGGCTTGAACAAGCCGAGGAAGCTTTGTGTTTTTCAATGACATGGCAAACTATATAAGTTCCAGAAGAATCAATTGTTAGTACTTTATCTTTACTCCTTTATAGTGAACACTGGATTGACCACGTCAGGAATACCTAATTTATTCAAATCTATTCATTTCTTATTCAAATTTTTTAAGGGATTTAAAGAGCTCTTTAAGTTTCTTTGCCTCAAAAATACCGAATATACTTCTAAATTATGTGGCAATGGCTTTTCAAAGTGTTTGATAATGAGCATAATAGCCTGACAGAGGGTCGAACCACATTTATAAACATAAGAAACGATTTTTAAGGCAAATATTGCAGTATAAAATAAACAAAATATAGACATATCTATATTGGCCCGCGCACAAATATTCAGGAAACAATACAAAGACCACAGACGAAGCATGGATAACACTTTTTCGCTTATCAAATAGTCGAAAAAATGTTGTCGCTTCTTAAAATAACGATGACTTCGAACAAACAAACATATCTTCACATTTTAAACAGTGAAAGATAGCGTTATAAAACCAAAAACATTCTGACGATAGGTGGTCTCCATATGTGTGTTATATAAGCATTGATACGTGTGTTGATATCAACGCGGAGTTTGTACACAAAAACATGCTGAAGTCCTAGACGTCGAGGAAAGGAAAGATTGAATTTGTTGTCATTTTACGGAACACAGATTTATAATCAAACAGGTTGTAAGCAGACTCAATAAACACAAATCATCTTCCGTAAAAATTACATCGAAGTTGAGCCACTCTTCACAAATTAAAACCATTTTTTCCTAATATATTCGTTTTAAAGTTCATCCGTTATTCGCAGTTTGATGCTAAAACATGCTTTGCAATAAACACAGAAATACTTGACCGCAAATTCAAAATTTCATCATTAATAATGGAAAGTCTGACACGATGACAAGCAAAGCCAAGCCATGTGGTTTTATAACTTGGTTTGCGAGGCGCTAAATTCGCCGACAGCGTCAACGGGATAGTATATTTTTAAATGTATTTCGCGCTTACCTATTCCAAAAGTGCGTTTATCCACGGAGTACTCGTTTATTTGAAACACATTTCTTATGAATGCTGTTCGTCCTCTTGTTTCACCGCAGTGGGTATTTTTCCAAGTGGGTATTTTTCAAAAATTACAATATAGTGAGTGGGACGGAACATTGCTCGTAATCACCTCTGACGTGGGGAGTAACTGTTGCTACAGCGACGTTCATTTCCGTCATGTGAGATATTTATCAAAATAAAAGAAAATTGCAATCAGTTTCACGGTGTGAAGGTGCAATGGGGGAGATCTTCATTCGCGGAAAATAGAAAAATTAATTAAATTTATTTCAGATTCTAATTGTTTAAATTGAATTTCAGACAGGGGGGTTCCGGCGAAGGGAGAAATGAAAATGAAGCAATGTGTAATTATAAATAAAGATGTTTTCTTCCCATAGAAACCATTTATTTTATATGTTGTATGATTCTGTGACCTTTTCCTATTTTCTTTCAAAAACATGTAGTTTATTTATATTTTGGATTATATTCTTTGTATTTTTATAGTTGTCTGACTTTGACAACAACCGCAAGAATACTTGAACAACTACCAGGGGGGAGGCTTTCAAAAAAGTTATACTTACTACCGACGCCCCCCTTAAATAACCGCTGTGATTTCAAGGTTTGCTCGCGGACTCCATTCAACAACATGGCGAACGTCGAAAGAGTTGTAGATTTGGTCGAAGGTCAATTTGATGATGCTGATTTGAGGTAAGATAGAATTTTTGAGCCTTCAGTACGTATGTTTTCAACATCACTCTTATGTGTAGCAAGAAATTATGAAAAAGAAATGTGTGCTTGTTCGTGTTCAATGATTTTTTATGATTTTTTGTGTGCACCACGTGGACGGGACATTGTGTTCTACACAGTGGTAAAGCCAGCTCGTTTTTGCTCTTTTGTATTTAATCGTTGGAAACACAATGGATGGAATCAGTTTTCTAAGAAAATGAATAATAATTTTGCTGAAAAATTTTCATTTGCATTTGCTGAAAAATTTGTAAAAGTAATGATAAGGCTGGCTTCACCACAGGTTATGTATATCTGTAATAAGCGTTATTTTCTGATGTTTTAGTGACGATAATGAAGACAGCATAATTTATTTTGACTACACTCCAAGACAAGATGCTGAAGGTAGGCTGAACAAATCAGGAGGATAAGTTATTCACTTTCATGTGCAAAATACGGATGGAGTGTTTTCACTGATGACCTGTAAATGTCCCAAAATTCTGTAGTTACAATGGAGGCCAGCTGCCGTAATGAAAGGTGGCAAAACTGATGTTATTTTCAACAAATATCTGCTTCTTCTGCATTGATAAACAGTTAAAGAGTCAATCGTCTAGTTTTGGTATTTAAAACGTTTTATGGTATTTTTTTTGAAACTTTCTTTTAACGTGTTTTTGATTGAAAGTTTTCATTTTTGCCACCTTTTGAGCTGGCTGCCATCCTTGCCTTGTCTATTGATTGATAAATTCACCATCAGTGATGTTCGGTAGAGAAACCTATCCATACAGTAAAAAGAATTTGTGTTGATTTTATGGCCTTTCATCCAGTGCTGTAGAACTAAGTTTATCAGGTGAAGGCTCTCTTGACGAAGCTGAAGCCATGAAATTATGAGAAATTACCCATTTCAAAGGTAGAAGGGGAGCTCCTCCCCCTTCTGCCCCACTTCTACAGCACTGGTTTCATGTAACAATGTTTTGAAGTAACCTAACAACATGGCCTCTTTGATATCACATGAAAATTCACAATTGCCAACCCATATTTAGTCCTGCTACGTAAATTTTTGTGTGTTCACTCACTATGAAAATAATGTATTTCATAAGAAGCGAATGATGATAATGATGTGAAATTAACATAGCAAATCTAAAACTTGCAGAATGGCTATGCCACTGTTAACAAGTGCTTCAAATTACATTAAGTCCTCTTCAAAAAGCTTTGCTTGCTTATGTGTACTGCACAGGGTGTTGCTTTGTTAAAAACTATTGAATTTGATTCTAATGTTTGTGGCATAATCATGCTACAGGTAATTTGGAGGATATTCATCCCGAAGACAATGAAGACTGGTCCTGGGAGGAAGAAAATGGAGGTGAATGGTTATGAGAGTTTAGCGCAAGTGTGATTTAAAATTATTTTTTGTATAGTACATGTAATTTAATGTACAATAATGAAGACTGTAAACATTTGTTTGAAAATCTGTGTTTTAGACATGATTAAGACTTTCAATGGAAGCAAAAATCGAGTGACTATGGTATACTTATGTGTTTTTGTGGAATTAAAATATTCAAGCAAGTGTTTTCAAGAGATTTTTATCATTCTTGATGTACTAGGAAATTTCTTAGAGTTTAAAATGAAGCAGAGATAATATGTCTGTAAATTTGGCTTTATTTTTCACAGCTGTCTTTGAATGATGGCACTGTACCTTGTAATGATGTTTTATGTTTCATAAATTATCATTTTCCATGATTTTCAGAGTGGAAATAGATGTCAAAATCAATCTTTCCAGGTGATTAAAATAATGTTTTTGCTTTTGCTGTTCTAAAAGAACAGAAGATTAAAGTTGGAAATTCTATTTCTCTTCCAGCCAAATGAGAAAGCTTGGCAAAAATTCAACAACAAAATACGAATAGGTTTCAGCTCGTTTCTTTTTTGTTAAGTGGATGTACCGCACACTGCTTTAACTCGTACATTCACGAAAACAAAACCTAATTATTGATATTATTTAGAAAAATACGAGGGTCCTCCACTGCCTAATACGACCGCAAATATTTTGATTGAATCAGAAAAAAGACGCGAGAACGACAGGTAGGTATTTATATTAAAAACATCGCACGCCATTCTTAAAATTATTTTTTCGACGCCATTTTTTAAATTATTTTCGATGCCATTTGCTATCTTCGTCAATACAGAGAGCTTTGTTACGTGGAAAAGCCAATTTTTGTGAAAGGTTTTGTCTTGTGATCGTACGCAATAAGTGATATCTTCTTTCTTTAAAACAAAAAATGTCACTTCCGGCCTTTAAACGTGTTTAACTTCAGAAACTATTTTTTAGAATCCGTGTAAAAGACAAGTCTGATAGAGCTACCATAGAACAGGTTTGCGATTACTAAGCTCCGACAAAATCATCCTTTTTTTAACTTTTACGCAGATTAAGTAAAAATGTCTTGTTCTGTTTTTACTTACAATTTCTGACGTTCGTGAAAAGCAGTCGTTTGATACAAATGAACATGCCATTTTTCATTTTAAGGTTTTGGATCCGAAAACTCGCATGATTATCTTCAAGTTGCTTTCTCGTAATTTTATCTCGGAGATAAACGGCTGCATCAGTACTGGCAAAGAGGTAACGCTTATAACCAAGCGTGTTAAAATCAATCGTGTTAAAATCTAATGTGTTAAAATCTATATCGTGTTAAAATCCATCGTGTTAAAATATAATGTGTTAAATCTATATCGTGTTAAAACCAAGCGTGTTAAAATCCATCGTGTTAAAATCAAATGTGTTAAAATCTATATCGTGTTAAAACCAAGCGTGTTAAAATCCATCGTGTTAAAATCTAATTTGTTAAAATCTATATCGTGTTAAAACATATAATGTTAAGACCTGTAGATGTTCAGAGGTCGACTTCATGTTTTTGTGCTTCATTTTTGTGATGTTTTTCTTGTTAGCCTTCAATGACGAGGAAAGTCAAACAAAAAAATAAAATCCTTTTTTTTTCATATATTCCTACCCTAGGCTAACGTTTATCATGCTTCAGCCAAGGAAGACAAAGAACGCGCTGTGAAGGTATTGAAATGGTTGATATTTTTGGCTCGCAAAGGTTCGAGACCCTTTTCTTTTAGATTGTTGTCTCCACAAGTTAAGTTGTTATAAAGAAGATATACGTTATCATACTGTTGTCTTACATACAACACGACAAGTTAAGTTGTTATAAAGAAGATATACGTTATCTTACTGTTGCCTTACATACAACACGACAAGTTAAGTTTTTATAAAGAAGATATACGTTATCATACTATTGTCTTACATACAACACGACAAGTTAAGTTTTTATAAAGAAGATATACGTTATCTTACCGTTGTCTTACATACAACACGACAAGTTAAGTTTTTATAAAGAAGATATACGTTATCATACTGTTGTCTTACATACAGCACGACATGTTAAGTTTTTATAAAGAAGATATACGTTATCTTACCGTTGTCTTACATACAGCACGACATGTTAAGTTTTTACAAAGAAGATATACGTTATCATACAGTTGTCTTACATACAACACGACAAGTTAAGTTTTTATAAAGAAGATATACGTTATCATACCGTTGTCTTACATACAACACGACAAGTTGAGTTTTTATAAAGAAGATATACGTTATCATACTGTTGTCTTACATACAACACGACAAGTTAAGTTTTTATAAAGAAGATATACGTTATCTTACAGTTGTCTTACATACCACACGACAAGTTAAGTTTTTATAAAGAAGATATACGTTATCTTACTGTTGTCTTACATACAACACGACAAGTTGAGTTTTTATAAAGAAGATATACGTTATCATACTGTTGTCTTACATACAACACGACAAGTTAAGTTTTTATAAAGAAGATATACGTTATCTTACTGTTGTCTTACATACAACACGACAAGTTAAGTTTTTATAAAGAAGATATACGTTATCTTACTGTTGTCTTACATACAACATAAAAAATTGCGTTTGTAAAGAAAAGACGAGTATCTCGCTTCTGTAAGAACTGAACTATCAATATCATCTGAAATCCTGTCTTTTGATACGTTTTCTTTAAAGTGAATGGTTTGAACCCGGAAGTATCGTTACATGTTTGTAGATGTGGATCGTCTGGGTTGCTGTAGTCCTGGGAACGACTGTGGATGGTGTTGTTGACTCACAAGACTGATGTTTTAACATCCTTAGTGGTAGTCATCTCGAGATGGGAAATGACTATTTTTTAATAACAGCATTAACACCTACAGTCATTCTCAAGATAGCGCTAATCTGGACGATCTACATGTGCAAAAGTTTGTCTTTCCTTTATAAAGATATCAAAAGTATCTCGCTTTCTAGCACTGATTTATCATAGTTATCTGAAATCTAATCTTGAGATACCATTCCCGCGTAGCCATAACTCTTCAATGTTTTCATATAAATGATTTTTCTACTTTTTTTTTTGCACAACGATAAAGGTTTACAAAACGTCCATTTTGGTCTTTAAAGATCGCGACAAATACGTTACGGGTGAATTCAGGTTAGGTCTAACGAAGAAAACATCGGGGAGAAGTTTTTGAAAATGATTTAATGTGTTGGAGTGATTTTTGTTGCCAGGTTTCGACACGGTTACTGTCGTCATAATCCCAGAAAGATGGTACGAACATGGGCGGAGAAAGAAATGAGAAATCTTACAAGGTATAATATGTTTGACGTGTGGATGGAAGGACAATGAAATTGATGCGTATTTGCGTGCCGTGTTTATCTCTGTTTTGTACTGTCTGTAATGCTACTCATAACTTCCAACTTAGGGAGTGTTTACATGATTCCGGCTAGCCGGGATTTAGTGAAGCAGCGTTAAATGATTTCGAGGCATCGGAGGGGGTAAAACTTCAAGCGTAAAAATTATACAACTGTTTGTTAAGCGTCACGAGTCGTTGCTGTTGTAATTTTTAAATTTCGCCGGATTTGTTGTTGTATGATTTTAAATGTTTTGCGTTTAGTTATTAAATCTGAGTCTTGAAATTGCTCAAGTGGATTTATCTGATGATAAGTATTGAAGTAAATGGTTTGAACCCGGGAGTATCGTTACATGTTTGTAAATGTAGATCGTCCAGGTTGGTATAGTCCTGAGAAGGACTGTTTTTGTTGTTGTTGACTGACGTTTCGACAACCTTAGCGGTAGTCAACTTCAGAGTAAAAAAAAAAAAGAATTGAAATGAATGAAAAAAAAAATTATTTTTTTTTGACTTATAAGATGACTACCGCTAAGGTTGTCGAAACGTCAGTCAACGACAACAAAAACAGTCCTCAGGACTTTACCAACCTGGACAATCTACATTTACAAACATATAGTGATAAGTATTGAATCACTGCTACCCGGGCTCATGTAATCAAGCACGTCTTATACATTAATTATAATAGATTATACAATGGCGGAGTGCCCTGTCCTCAACCTATACTACTGCGAAGCCATGTACTTCTCATGGAGTTTCTCGGGACAAACGGAAGGTATTTTCAAATATATCTTGACAACGCTCAACATTATATTTACTGTGTTGTAATTTTAGACTTTTTAATGTAGACCTTCACCACTTCTCAAGGATGTAAATCTGACCGAATCAAAAGCAAGAGAATTGTATTTACAATGTGTAAGGATCACACGGGATATTTACTGGAAAGCCAAACTTATCCACGCCGATCTTAGCGAGTTTAATATGATGTAAGGGTACACATGTATCTTAAAGGATATTGGGATGAAAACGTCTTTTATGAATGGTGTTTGAATCCATGCATCCATCCATCCATCCATCCATACATCCATCCATCCATTTATTCATCCATCCATTAAAGGTCCCTAACTCACTGCAAGCAATGCGCTGCAACCACTAATATATATGTAGTATACAAGAAAAAGCTACTTTACATCAAATTTTGAACCTTTTCCAATTTTTTTCTTCAAGCTATCACAACGACGGTATTTTTATCATCGACGTTTCGCAATCAGTTGAACATGATCATCCTCGAGCCTTGGAATTTTTACGTAAAGATTGCACCAATATAGCTGGTAAATTGTAGTATATACACCTTAATATATGTTTAAAGATTGGTATTCCAGGCATTATAATGTTTAAAAATAAAAATTTCTCCGGATTTTGTAAATAATTTTATTGAGCTTTCGAGTCTTTGCTTTCGAGTCGTTGCTTTATCATCATTCTGATGAAGGCTCGAAGCAACGAGTCGAAAGCTCAATAAAATTATTTACAAAATCCGGAGAAATTTTTATTTTAAACACCTTAATATGTATAGACTATATGATAGCGTGTGTGGATTTATTGAATCATACTAGTATTGAAGTTTTTACGTAAAGATTGCACCAATATAGGTGGTATGTGTAGACTACATGGAGTTTACCTAAATAATTCCCGCTTTAAAAATGCCCTTGTATTCAAGGGCCCGAAGGTTCAAAAATCTCCTCAATACTGTTTTGCCTTCTTAGAAAATCGAACTACTCCATGGTCTATTTAAAACATTAAAGGTGCCTTCGCTGTTTGATTGAAAAGTCTTCCAGTTGGAGGGTCACTAAAAGGGATTATCCTTGATGGATTTTCCCCGCTTTCCTTTTTCTATCTTAAGGGCTGTTTACATAAGCCCGGTAACCGGGATTCAGCGAGGCGAGAAATGATTTTGAGTCATTGAAAGGAGTAAAAACTTTAAGCGCGAAACTTTCAACCTTTTCTTACAAGTGTCATATGTCACTTTAGTCGTAATTTTGAAATCATTTTAAAGGTTTTGTGAATGTGCGAAGTCAGAGCATAGAGAAATTGCTCAAATAAGTTTTTTGTTGTGAAGTGTTTGATCTTTTCCATTTGCCAAAAAGATATAACGCTTAGCTGAACCAGGCTATCGGACCGATGTAATCAGGTCCTTAGAGAGTGGCTCGTGTTCACCAAAACAAGGATCGTAAATGCAAACTTATTTCTTAAAGATGGACTTCAAAATAGCAAATACCATGGTGAATGGTGATAATAACAATGTAATAGTTCTTAAAAGAACTGTTTTAACCAGAACACTAACCCAACAATTCAAAGGAACCGTTATTTACAGCTAGAAAGAGACACTATGCATTTCGGCAGACTACTCGTGGCAGACTTTCGGCAGACTAAATGCATAGTGTCTCTTTCTAGCTGTAAATAACGGTTCCTGTGAATTGTTGGGTTAGTGTTCTGGTTAAAACAGTTCTTTTAAGTACTATTACATTGTTATTATCACCATTCACCATGGTATTTTCTATTTTAAAATCCATCTTTAAGTTTGTCACCACGACAGTCTCTGTTTCAAAATTTATTTCTCCATTTCATTTAATAGATTTTTTCCGTAAGAAAGGTGTTTGTGTGATGACAGTACGAGAGACGTTCGATTTTGTCACGGATCCCAACATCAACGATGACAACATCGAGGAATATTTGGAAGAGGTACTTAAAAGTTTTTTATCGTGTATTTTTCTTTATGCTTTCTCCATTTGAACATTATTTTATGAACACAAATTATAGGCTCAAAAAATCGTGTTATCTCGCTCGAAGAAAAGCAAAAACGACGCCGAAGAAGACATTAAAGAGGAGGTGAAGTACTTTTGCTAATACCGAGTGTATGACCTACTACAGAATGTACTTTCAACCATCTTCCACTAGTACTGATATTATAGAATATCTTTTTCTACAGCTTGTACTCTTAACCATCTTCTACCAGTATTGAGTACTTGATCCCTTTCTACTACAGCATGTAGTCTTAACCATCTTCTACCAGTATTGAGTACTTGATCCCTTTCTACTACAGTAAATAGTCTTAACCATCTTCTACCAGTACTCATTATATAATCCCTTTCTACTACAGCATGTAGTCTTAACCATCTTCCACCAGTATTGAGTACTTGATCCCTTTCTACTACGGCATGTAGTCTTAACCATCTTCTACCAGTATTGCGTACTTGATCCCTTTCTACTACGGCATGTAGTCTTAACCATCTTCTACCAGTATTGCGTACTTGATCCCTTTCTACTACGGCATGTAGTCTTAACCATCTTCTACCAGTATTGAGTTTGATCCCTTTCTACTACGGCATGTAGTCTTAACCATCTTCTACCAGTATTGCGTACTTGATCCCTTTCTACTACGGCATGTAGTCTTAACCATCTTCTACCAGTATTGCGTACTTGATCCCTTTCTACTACGGCATGTAGTCTTAACCATCTTCCACCAGTATTGAGTACTTGATCCCTTTCTACTACGGCATGTAGTCTTAACATCTTCCACCAGTATTGAGTACTTGATCCCTTTCTACTACGGCATGTAGTCTTAACCATCTTCCACCAGTATTGAGTACTTGATCCCTTTCTACTACAGCATGTAGTGTTAATTATCAAGATTTTCTATAATCCTACATATTGTTTCCATGATTTAGGTGTTTAAGAATGCATTCATTCCGAGAACTCTAGAAGCCGTCTTGGATTTTGAATACGACAGACAGAAAGCAAGGCAGGGACAAACTGATGACGTATGTGAATTTCAATCACGTGGTATCGTTATATGAAGGCCATTGAGAGGACAGTTCTTTTTTAGGGGGGAGGGGGAAGGGAGAGTCAGTGTGACTATACATGCATTTTATATCGGATTCGGTTGGTTTAGCGTAAACATTCCCCCCCTGTTCTGAACTTTGTAACTATATAAAGCAGGTGATAATTTCTTCAGACCAAGTCTTGTAAAAAAACAAAAAGAATGATAGCATAACGCTATAACCAACAACTACAAACAATAACGACCTTATGTAACAACATTTGAGAAATTGACCTTCCACTCCTCTTCCTTGTAAACCAGACAAGCTTGTCTGAAGTATAAACAGACAAGCTCGAATGTTCTCAAATGTTGTTAGATAAGGTCGTTATTGTTTGTAGTTGTTGGTTATAGCGCTGTGCTATCATTCTTTTTGTTTAATAACATTCCAACTATTTAACCTTGTAAAAAAGATCTGCACATATGTCTTAGCATACTTGCTTAATTCAAAACGAAATCTTGTGCGTTCCACAATGCAGTGAAGGCGATATTAATAGAGACCAAATTTTTTAGGCATTCAGGAAACATCCTGAAAAAAACCCCGCCCTTCCATTTGCTTAATAGCGCAAATTATAATTTACATAGATTTCATAAACTTTTTCTCTCACGTAGATACTATACAGAACACTTACAGGAATGAATGCAGATTTATCGGGCACTCAACAGGTAAAACGGTGTATTTTTGAAGCAATTATCAATGTAAAATAAAGACTTTATCAACAGATCTGGCTTTAATTAAGCAGTTCTTTTAAGAACTATTACTTTAGTATTTTCACCATTCACCATGTTGCTTGCTCTTGCTCTTTTTTTTTAAACAATTATCAATGTTTATAAGACATTTAAAATAAACGACAAATTTTTTTAAGGCAAACATGTTTCAGCATACTTTATGCCATCTTCAGTGCAAAGTAAATAAATACAGGAAGTTTACACGATGCTTTCAGCTTTATCACTATAACATATTATCATGTAAACTTCCTATATTTATTCACTTCGCACTGAAGATGACACAAAGTATGCCGAAACATTTTTGCTATAAAGAAATTTGTCTTCTATTTTAAATGTCTTATTAACATTGTGCTCTCACGAAATTATAAAAATTCTCAATGTAATAGTAAAATTAAGAAAGGAACATGTGTGTCTGCAAAAATTTCTTTCTGTTGTTTTAGGATCCTGTGCTGTTACATAAAGTGACCGATGCAGAAAAAGGAATTCTTGAAACAAGGAAATGTGAAAACGTCACAAAGGAATTTAACCATTTTGAACAGGAAACCAATACAGGAAAAAATATTCCTGAAACAAGGAACTTAGAGAATGTCAAAGCGGAGTATGATCTGCTTCAACATGTGACTGACACAGACGAAGGAATTTTTGACACGAGGAAATGCAACGACGTCAATAAGGATGATGACAGTGATTATGAACGTTCAACTACGACAGATGACGATGATGATAAAGAAAATGATTCAAATCTTACCAAAGAGGAAAGAAAACGACTAAGAAAAGTAGGATTATGTATTTACAACTTTGCATATGGCTTCGAGCTTTGAGAACTATTTTCAAGGTTAAATTTTATCATTTAGGAACACAAGAAGGAAGTAAAGGAAGCGAACAGAGAGAAACGAAAGACAAAGACTCCGAAACATGTTAAGAAACGCAAACAAAAGCTAGCTCAACTTAGGAAAGGAAAATAATAAATTTTATAGTTCTAATGCTGTTGAGCGTTGATATGGTTTACAAAACAAAATCAATATGGAGTATCTTCAAAAAACAAACGCGAGATGTCGTATTTTATAGTGTATTGAATACCAAGAAAAATAAATCTATATTCTCATATTAGTTTAACTACATCATGCCATCGATATAAACTAATAAACAATAAGAACTTCACTTCAATAATAGCATGCAAACAAACAAAATTGAAAATGATCTAATAAATGCACTGCTCAATAACATTTCATCAAAGACGCTTCATAATAACAAAACCATTAATACTTCTCTCTATGTACAACAAAGACAAATATTGACATGAATAACATTTGATTAGAATCTATTCCAGTGAAGATCGTCAACCTTGTATTCCTCTTGCTATATTTCTTTCCTCTTTCTTTAAACGAACCTCTTCTCTGTGTTCTTCTTCAGCACGAAGCCTCTCTCGTCTTGCATCGAGCTGTGCAATACGATTTTCGTGGTATTTCACCATTTTTTGCTGTGCTTTCTCTGCTTTCATGCGAATCTCTTGCACTATCTTCTCCTCGCTGATATGTTTAGCACGTTTAAGCTTTTCTTCCTCCGCTTCGAACTTTTCCTAAGAATTTTACCGTTTTAGATTTATACATCACCAAATATCGAAACCTCATGTAACTAAACCAACGTGAGCGTTATGAAGGGCATGGTTTCAAGCCTGGAGTATTGTTACATGTTTGTAGATTTAGATCAGCCATGCTAAAGCAGCCCGAGATGAACTGTTAGTTATAATGTTGACTTCTTCCTCTTTAGAGTCAAGTGACTTGAGATTGAATCTAAAGATGTCAAAACATCAGCCAACACGAACAGTTCTTCTCAGAACTGCTATAACCACGACGATCTACATCTACAAACACGTACAAGAATATCGGCCTTTATGATTTCAATAACCGTGTTCAAATCATCGTATTATAACACAAACTGGATTGATCGTTTAACAGATTGGCTTTCGCTTTAGTTATAGACAAATTAGGAATGTCAACATCATTATTTCCTACAAATTATTCACGAACTGGGCAAACATCAAGGAAAACGCACAGTTTGCGAAGAAATTTTTAGTTATGTTGTTGAACTTGACGCGTTTTGTTGTTTTCTAGTACAAATTACGATTATTCTTAAACTCACACTGACCTGGCGTAGTTTTTCTTGATATTCCAATAATTCCTTCGCAGTAAGAAACTTTTGCTGTGTTTTCTCCTCCAAGTCTTTGCATCTGCTTTGCTCGGCTTCTTCGCGAGCATTTTTTGCTATTTCGATTTTTTTGAACCTCGCTTGTTGAGTTTCTTTGATACCTTGAAGGATTGCCTCCCGATTCTCGGTCGAAATCTCAGTTTTGACAATTATTTTCTCTTCTGTTGCCTATAGATAACAAACATATTTCTCAGGCATAAAAATGAACTGATGAAGCAGAACTTTTGGACTTGAATAGCTATCAAGGGCAACCGATTCGTTGATGAAATGTTAAACCACCTTCACTAACAGTTCTTCTTTCTCCTGAACGAACTTTAAAACGTCTTTTAATCTTTCCTGTTTTGCTTGACGCTGTCTTTCAAGCTCCAATCTCGCTGCCTCCTGTTTTGCCTCGATGATCTTTCTCTTCTCTTCCAATTTCTCGGCAACTTCTTTAATCTTCGTTTCAACATGCTCGCTGCGAATATGATTGACCTTTTTCACATGCTCTATTTCTGCTGCGACCTTTTCACGTTTCTCGTCTACAAGAAGCTGAAAAAACCTCTGACAAGTCAAACACAACGCAAAAAATTTAATCCCAAAATAAAAACTGTCGCTTACATTTCGTCTGTGTGCAGCCTCTACTAATTTCTTGTCAACAATCTCTTTAGTGATTTCTTTTCCCGGCGATTCGATATTTGGCTTTCTTTCCGGCCCAATAGCAGGCTTTATAACAACCTCGTACGCTAAACCGCTTTCTTTTATCTCTTTAGTATTTGTCACTGAAAAAATTGAATATAAATAAGCAACTGTACATAAATACACGAACTGAAGCGTATCAGATATTTATACGGCACTTCACTAAAAAGAAATGATAACATACCTAAATCTTCTGCTATTTCTTCGTTAGATTTAGATGTACAATCGTTGAAACTTTCAGCAAGTGCGTTGTTTTTTTCGAGCAAAGAGGAATCGCCGTTCATTTTTTGGTCCGTTTCTATGATGAAGAAGCTCGATTCTTCTTGATACGAATCCGAAAACACCGACTTTGCCGTACTGTGGTAATGCCGTCGTACGAAATTACAAAACAAATAAGCTACTTCAAATATTTGTACTTTAAAAAATGAAAAAAGTACAACAACACAAAAGAAATTAGAAATGTCAAACCGAAGTTGCCGAAGTCATATCGCTATTTCAGTTCATTTTCATGCAAAAACAAGAGCTGAGCTGAAGCCGTTTTACAGATAAAAAAGAAATATGAGACTACTTGCATTATATATAATGTAGGTGAAGTAGAAAGGTGAAAATTTGCCGTACCTTTGTCTTTTACCCATGAAAATCGTTGCAAATGGCCGACGTCCTCTTTAAATCCATATTTAAATCACGAATGAAGTAAATTTTTATAAATACCGCGCGTAATTAGTCACGTGCTAAATGGCGCACGCCGATTGGACGATCGTGATTCAAAGTGCACAACCAAACGCGACCAAAATAAACATACAATGGTTGCCAAAAACGGAATGAAAATGGTCATTAATCTCTAGGGACCAACTCAACAATGGTGAAATCGGTCATGTTGATGTTCCAAAAACAGTACATTTTATAGGGCTTGATTACACGAGCCTGGTAACCGGGATTCAGCGAGGCGTGAAATGATTTTGGTAAATGGAAAAGATTAAATACTTCACAACAAAAAACTTATTTGAGCAATTTCTCTATGCTCTGATTTTGCAAATTAACGAAACCTTTCAAATGAAAATAAACAATTTAGCCTGATTTGAAAATTACGATTAATATGACATATGTTTGTAAATGTAGATCGTCCAGAGAAGGACTGTTTTTGTTGTTGTTGACTGACGTTTCGACAACCTTAGCGGTAGTCATCTTCAGAGTCGAATGAGTAGTAAATGACATATGACGTTTGTAAGAAAAGGCTGTAAGTTTTGCGCTTAAAGTTTTTACTCCTTTCGTTGACTCAAAATCATTTTACGCCCCGCTGAATCCCGGTTACCGGATTTATGTAAACAGCCCCTTAGTGGATATAAAATAACATTACCATTGCAAATTATCATTTATGCCCTTGCCTACGAGCACCACGTGACCCTATACATGCTACCGCACCCCAGCAAGATTAATCTTGCAGATTAATAGCAGATTAATCTTGCACCAAAAGATTACCCGATCCCAATCTTTCGCTTGGATAAAGCGGACTCCAACTAAGGTCTTTTACGATTGTCACGCAAATGCTTTATGAAAATTTGTGCAGCACATATCCAAAATAGGTGGCAGAAGCCTATTTTGGAAATGCACAAACTTTTGGCTGAATTTCTTTTTCTAAATTAGAGAGCGAGGGAACTCTCTAGTTTAGACAGAAACTCAGAAGAGAGATGGATGATTTTCACGAAGTAAATATTTAAATATTTAAATATTAAAATTTAAATATTTAAATATTTAAATTCATATATTTACTGGTCAACTGTCAAGAACCAAAATCAGTATCCAAATAAAAACCGAAATGCTTAGATTTTTAAGTAATTTTAGTATAAAAAGCAATAATTTAATAAACTAACTGAAGATGTCGGCTGGCCACGTCAAGTCACGCCATTCTGAAAAATTACAAAATAAAAAGAAGTTAATCAGTTGATAACAGGATAAAAACAAAACAAACATATACACACCTGTTTCTTCTTTGATTTTCTTCTTTATTTTCGTTCTTTGCATCTAAAAGAAGCCAAAGAAAAAAACAAACATATAAACTTCTGTCTTGATTTCCTTTTTTCATTTTCATGCTCCGCATCTAAAAAGAAAAGGCTAAAGAAAAAGTTATACACAAGTCAAAAACAAATACATACAACTCTGTCTTCTTCTTGATTTTCTCTTCATCTTCGTGCTCTGCGTGTGAAAGGAAAGGCTAAAGAAAAAGTTATAGACAAATCAAGCCTTTTGCACCATCAGGATCCTGTGGACCTGTATCTCTCGGGAAAAGTTGGAGGCAAGTTAAAAAACAAACACATACTCTTCTGTCTTCTTCTTGATTTTCTCTTCATCTTCGTGCTCTTCATCTTAAAGGAAAGGCTAAAGAAAAATTTATTGACAAATCAGGCCTTTTGCGCCATTAGGATCCTGTGGACCTGTATCTCTCGGGAAAAGTTGGAGGCAAGTTAAAAAACAAACACATACTCTTCTGTCTTCTTCTTGATTTTCTCTTCATCTTCGTGCTCTTCATCTTAAAGGAAAGGCTAAAGAAAAATTTATTGACAAATCAAGCCTTTTGCGCCATCAGGATCCTGTGGACCTGTATCTCTCGGGAAAAGTTGGAGGCAAGTTAAAAAACAAACACATACTCTTCTGTCTTCTTCTTGATCTTCTCTTCATCTTCGTGCTCCGTATCTGAAAGGAAAGACTAAAGAAAAAGTTAGAAGCAAGTAAAAAAAACAAAACACATAAACCTCTGTCTTATACTTGATCTTCTCCTCATCTTCATGCTCCGCATCTGAAAGAAAAGTCTAAAGAAAAAGTTAGAAGCTAGTCTAAAACAAAACACTTACACTTTATTATTTTGACTTTCCTCCTTATCCTCTTCCACCGTGTCTAAAAGAAACGACTAAATAACAAATTATTGGCAAAAGAACAAACAAACACAAACTGACATTTACCTCTGTCTTCCTCGAGAAGTTTGAGATGTTCGCCATAGCTCTGCATTTAAAAACTTAACAAGTTAGCGATTGAACAAATGCAAAGAAACACATACCAATTCCTTTTTCTTGTGTTCTCCTCTGTTGTTGTCTATAATTGCAAAAATAATTGCTAAATTAAAATCACGTAAAGCCATCAGACCTCGTGTATTTCGCCTTAATGGCGTACATGTTCATGTCAAAAAAGTGCTTGCAAAAGATCAATAAACATTTCAGTAATAATTATTCTGCGAAATTTTGTTTTGTAAAGAAAGACAAGCGAGATTTCAGTTTATGTTTACGTTCAAAATTCCTCCGCACAAGAGTTAAACAATATGTTTGTGTTGTACATCCAATAATGTAACCAGCTTGCAAGTTTGTCCTTTCATCTAAGGCTTGTTGAATACACCACTGGTTAAACGCCAGCTTATTTTGGAGACAATTGTTTTTTGATCTATCCATTACTCAAAATAATTGTCATTTTGATCGTGATGATAGCTCATATAAAGACAATGCTATCTCTTGAACAACAGTTCATCAGAAAACCTTCGCCGACAATACTTGTTTTAAATTTTTAATACTACCTAAAACACTGTCTCTGGTTGTTTCAACAACAAATCAGAAGGTTTACGTGTTCTGTATCTTTTACAAGTACTACACAAAAACTGCTATAACATCCCTTTTAATGTTATAGCAATACATTGCCAGGAACAAATTTTTTAAACGTATTTTCGAAGGTCTTGCAACGTTTACCTTCCCAAATGCACTTTCTTTACAACCCAGTAATAATCTCGTCATGATGGTTTCTGTGTTGCGTGAGTTATTTACCGAATGTTGCATGATTTGCTGGAATCTCGTTATTTTTTAAATTGTTCTTGTCGTTGTGAACTGAAGAACCAGATAACAAATAGGGCTAACCTGACGTTTACTCCTCATTTGACTCTGAAGATGACTACCGCTAAGGTTGTCGAAACGTCAGTCAACAACAACAAAATTAGTCCTTCACAGGACTATACCAACCTGCACGATCTACATTTACAAACATGTAACGATACTCCCGGATTCAAACCATTTATTTGTTATAATAAACTGCTATAACATCCCTCAATGTTATAACAATGTTCATAAATTGCTATGACACACTAATGTAACATTCCTTAATCTTAAAAGAATGTTTTTACGTTGCTATAGCACACTGTTACAACATCCCTCAATGTCATAACAGTGTTGTATGCAATAAAGTAAATGGTTTGAGCCCGGAATTATCGTTACATGTTTGTAGATGTAGATTGTCCAGATTAGTATAGTCCCGAGAAGGGCTGTTGGTGTTGATGTTGACTGACGTTTCGATAACCTTAGCGGTAGTCATCTTCACAGTCATCTGTTTGATTCTGAAGATGACTACCGCTAAGATTGTCGAAACGTCAGTCAACATCTACAACAACAGTCCTTCTCAGGACTCTACTAACCTGGACGATCTACATCTACAAACATGTAGTGTTCGTACGTATTGATAATACACAGATGCAACATCCCCTAAGGTTATTACAGTGCGCTGATTTACTCAAAGCTCCGCATGTGGTTATAATACACTGCTATAACATCTCTGAATGTTGTAACAGTGCTCTACTACATTCAACAGTCAAACAAAAACTGTACATAATATTTAACAGGAGATTTTTATTAAACAAAACATTCCCATCGTTTCTAACGTTGGGAAACTGTTGAGCAGATGGTAGGAAATAATTAAGAATCGAATTGAAGTTATTGCAACATTCTGCCGGCGTGTTGCAATATCCTTCGATTCAAATATTAATTAAGTGTTGTACGCATTGTAGATTTTACTTCAATGTTACATGTAAGATTCAAATAATTGAACGTTCACAAATAGTTCCAGCCGATACGTGCAAATTATTTAACGAGATTCGGTCGGATGAACTTAAACACCCCCCCTGTTCTGAACTTTACAACTATATAAAGCCGGAGGGAGAGGATAAGCTCATCTGATCAAATCTAGCGGAGAAATTAGCACGCATGTCCATACAGGATTCTGCATCTTAACTGGACGATTGGATTATAAAAACTACTATAACATTCCTAAACGCTATGGTAGTCCGTAAACATACAACTATACAGAATATCTTGTTTGTCAAAAAAGAACATGTTCTTTTGATTGTCATTATTTCTAACAGCGGCCGTCTGTTAGAAATAAGTCATAAGCAAAATAATCTTGTTTCAGGCACAATAATGACAGTGTGGAAATACACTTTGCGATAATGCATGAAATCAATATTTCTGCACGTAGCATTCCAGTGGAATACTTCATGTTAAGAACGATGAAGGACTTTGGAGTTTCTTGAGGGATAATTTATATCCAGGAATTGAGGAAAGACGATTTGTACTTCAATATGTAAAATCTTCACGATTACTTTGTTGTCTACAAAAACAGAAATACCAAGACATGAAACTGATGTTTCAATTATGGAACTTGACTAACAATCACAAACTTAGAATACTAAAAACGAACAATTTAGTTATTCTACGCATTCAAACGAAAATTGTACGTAAGAAAACGCACCTTGTTGTCGTTGAAACTCGTCTGTTTCAGCTGTCAACTACGAACAACGATTTCTTTGTGAACGACGAAAGAGAATTGTTCAACGCGTTTTTATAATCAACAAATTTAAATATTTTACACTCAGGAGAGCGCATTCCACCGCGTATCGACATTTCACATAACTCTTTTAACATAGCCATTCGTCCTGGGTCTAAAATGAATGGAAATGTAGTAAACTGTCGCATGAAAAAAATGAAGAAGGAACGAACAAGATTCGTGAACGTACTGTCTAAGTTTTGACGGTTCCATCGTGTCATCCAGAATCCGTGAAGTTGAATGTCTTTGAAAATGAAGGCACTCTGAATAACAAAAAAACTTGAAGATGAATGACATGTATGCGATTTTGAACTTAAGAGTATCGTTACATGTTTATGGATGTTGTTCGTCAAGGTTAGTAAAGTCCTGAGACAGACTTAAAGTGTCAGTACTGACATTGAACTAAAATACATGGAACGCTGCCTGAAGCGAATAATTGAAGTCAAATCTTACACCCAGACACGCGAGATTTTACACCAGACACGCGAGATTTTACACCAGATACGCGTGTGTAGTGTGTGAAGAGCAAATGTCAAACTCTCTGTACTTTTTCGACAACGTCAGTCAATATAAACACCAACAGTCCTCCTTAGGTCTACACTAACCAGGACGCTCTACATCCACAAACATTCACAGTCTTATAGAACGGTTTGAACGACGCCACAAAAAGGCGATGTGTTGTTTGACAGCAAATCTATCAACTTTTACAAAGTCTATTTCATTCAATTGTAAATACATCCCTGTGTTTACAAAGTTTATATTTTAAATGTATTACAAACCGTTGGAACAGATACTGGTTTTTTTGACATTCCACCGTACGTGACCATGGAACCAGATTCGCTGAAAATATAAAAATGACAATTAACTGAAATTCCTTCTCGTAAGTTTTATAAAAATGCTGAAACAGCTATATCCTCACCTTAAATATCGAAGCAACTGCAAGGAACTTTTACCACCAACACAATTCAACGCAAGTCTGGATGGTTTATGTTTCTAAAGAGAATCCATTAAGAAAATAAAAGATGTTTACTGTGTTTGCACAAGCTTATGCAAACCGAGGAGACCTTTGGGTGAACTCAAGAGCAAATCAGAGCAAGCCTGAGACTGAAGGTCCAGAATTCTCACAAACAGCTCCGAGGTTCGCATAAGGCAGTGCAAACACGAAAAAGATCTTTTATTTCTTTTATAAAATAACAATAATGCAAGATAGACAAATTTAAAACAATTTTTTTAATTTTTCCTTTAACATTTGTTCATGATTGATTTGCAAATTCTCTTTGATTGATTTACTTGATTAAGCTCAGATCGGTTTACACAAGTTAATGCAAACACAGGCTATAGACCAATCAGTGTACACATTTTATAATTATTATTTTATAATACACATTGTCATAAAATCATCATCATTATATCTTGAATGAAAAAATGGTTTTACTATAATTAGATTTTGCTCGTACCTTTAAAACATCCTTTATTTTATCAACATTTTGAAATTCTTCTTCAGTAAATACGTAGTTTGCTCCAAGGTTCATCAGAGTTTCCTTTAGTTCATCAATGTTCTCACGATCTCTGACAACATTCAACGAAACCAGCCCCCAAGCTGCAGCCAACTGTATCACAGACAGACCAACGCCGCTATTGGCTCCGTTTTGAAGCACAACATCACCTATTGGTTGATAGATGAAAGCCAATGATTGGTCGAACACCAAACCAATTCACATATTGTAAACATGCATGGTTTGTGTAAAACAATTCTACATTTAAAAGTCATGCAGTTGGAGATTTTGTGAAAGAGATTTCAGACATACACCTTCTTGCAGTGGTTGAAAGTCTTTCAACATTCTGTAAGCTGTACAGGGATTTATAGACAACATGGCTGCATCTTTCATAGAAAGACCATTTTTTACTGGAATTTTGACACAATCATCCTCTTTCAATATCTTCATCTCCATCCAACTACCTTTGCAAATTTGTATCAAAAAGACAATAAAACTATTTGCTGAAAAAGTCTAATGGAGTTAACTCATATGATTGGCTCATACCAAGTCCGGCATTTCCCATTAATACCCAGTCTCCAACACGGACAGACTTCACATCATCACCAACTACCAACACTTCCCCAAGACCCTCGTTACCACCAACTGCAGGGAGGGAAGGTTTGATGGGATACAATCCTAAATAGAAAGTGACGGACTAAGAATTTCTAGGGGGGGAGGCATGCATATAATGGTATCAATTGCTTTCTCCACCTTGAAGCACATTCAGATCAGCTGGATTGATGGGTGAAGCCAACATTTTTAGAAAAACACTTTCTCTGTTGAATTCTGGTAGAGGATAATCTTGTAGACTACAAAATCAAAGTAGAAATCAGTGGCAGATCCAGATGAGGTTTGCAGTATGTTCACAGACAGAGACAGCCTCTCCAGAACTTGGATAATTTATTGATAATTTCGTAGAAGCACTTTTGCTAATGCGCAGTTAATATACACGACGAGTTTTTTTAAAATAGACATGTTTCCACATCTCATGATGCCATCTTCAGTATAAGTGAAATAATAAACAATACAAGGTTTATATAAAAGTAATATGGTACATAAATTACAACAATAATAAGGAAATAAGATAAATTAATGGGGAGCGTCCGAGCGTATTATAAACTAAATATTGTATTGAATTTAAAATCTTGAACATTGAGGTCAGGGTTAGTTTTGTTGATGTGGAGTGCTTCTTTGATATTGATAATAAAATTGACATGCATGTGTAGGAGCTAGCACTAAATCTTTGCATGAATTGCCATGTGTAAAATCGTCGGCATTGACTACAGAACAACTCAACCACATTGAAGGTAAAATTCACAGTTCACAAGAATATTTTTACCTGATAACCTTACTTGGGTCGCCATATTCTGAATAAACTAAAGCTTTAGAAGACCGAGGTATACTTTCAGACGTGATCGAAAATGTCCTCGACAATTTTACAGCTTTGCTTGAAGTCAGAAACCTGAAGAGAACGCGTTGCTTCGTCCAGTCTGCTATGGTCGTGGGCAGCGCCATTTTATATAATGGCATTCTGAAGGATGGGAAATAACGTCGTCCGGACAACAACCGAAACCTAATTTTAAATATTTGAGGCTCGAACAACAGTACAATTACTAAAATACTAAATGATATATTTATAATTCTGAGTCTGAACTTCCTCATTACTATAATTTACAGCCGTCTATGAATTTATGATATAAGTACTGTTGCTTTCTCTAACATATTTCGTTTAATTGCATCGTTTTTCTTTTATAGATCCAAACGTCGAGCTGAACAAAGAGAGCCTTGTAAGTAAAAAACTTTCAACATCGATATGTTCTTCATAATTCACAGTTTTATAGATTACGCGCTCGAAATTTCCACTAGTTGATAATATTATGGAAATTGAGAGCGAATAATCTAATTATTTTAGAAGAGTCATACTTTAGTATTCTTAAGGAAAAAGTTTGTTGAAGTTCTCCTTTATTTGTCATTATTTTATTCATACAGTCGTTGTGGTTGCCGTCTTTATTAAAAAGCGAAAGACTCTTGGCTTGCTCAATGCATGTTTAGTTATTTTAATTGAATTTTTGTCCAATACAGTAAATGCTAGCTTTAGTCCCGCGGCGATTATTTAATTTTTCCGATTTTGAATGCGGCGTTTATGCGAGAGCGGCGTTTAAGTGGGAGCGGCGCTTATTAAATATTTTTATCGCCCCAAGAAAATAACGAGTAGACAAAAGCTATTTTCATTATATAATATTCTACAATTTATTGAAAATAATGTCGCATAGACGCAGAAGAAGGTTTTCGTAAATTTTAAAGTTTAGTAACTCAATATTTCTTCCAAGCTCAGCACTAAAATTACTCAAATACGGCGCTTAAGTTAACCGGCAGCGGCGCTAAATAACAGTTCTGGATTCTGACTGTGGCGCTTAACCGAGGGCGGCGCTTAACCGGGAGCTACGCTAAAAGTATAAGACAGGAGTGCTATATATTCTAGAAATTTCTTAGTGTTTTTATGTGAGACGCTGTGTAAAATTCCCTCAATCCCTCTACCTCCTTTACCTATTGTTTTAGGGATTTGTTTTTTAATATATTCATTTAGGTTGTCGGCTAGTCATGGTTTTATCCCTTTACCTCCATTGCTTGGGTGGGTGACTTGTGCGGGAAATTTAAAAAGCAAAAATATAAGCATAAACAACAAGAGTTGAAGAGATAAATTTATCTTTTTAATATTGTTTTCCAAAGGTTATATTATTAACGAAATAAAAAGTATTTTTTGCTTGTTCCTATTGAGTTATAGACACAGTTGTGCAATATTGCCCACGTGCGAACGGGACAGTCAGATTACATTTGAGAGCTGAATTCAAACTAAAAATACAGTCGTGAACAAAGTTTAAAGACTCTTTTACGTTTATAGACAATAAATTTCGATAATTTTATCCAAAATTGATGTGACGTCGATTTGTTTGAACTTTAATAATCGTTTGCATTTTGTTCTCATAGGTATAATGGAGGCAAGAAAATGATGGGGGGTCGATATTGTGCCGGCATTTGAAAACTTCTTTGACTGAATATATTGAAAACTAAAATTCACTTCATGTCACGTTTAAATATTCAACTTATCTTAAACGAAGTTATTGTATATCATATTCATGTCACCTTGAATCGAAGTTTTAATTTGTTTGAACTTTAATAGAATTCGATCTTACGCTATTTAACTTTCAGAATTTTTTATCGTTAATTAATTCAGATTTACAATAACAATATATAATTGACACCCGAACATTACAACTAATTAAGATTTAACTCTTTAGCTTTATATGGGTATGACATGCACAACTAAAAAGCCGCGTGGCGTTGATTATGTTGACATTTTTGTTTGACAACTACTTTCATAGAGTATAAAAGTAACATAAATACAAGTTAACTTCTACATCGATGTTCACGATGATCTACAATTCTTCTTGCGTTGATTCTACATTCAAAACAAAATCTCCATCTAAAAGTTCCATTGTAAATCCATATTCTCTTATTAAATCTTGAACGTGAGGCAAAAATTCTTCGATAAAACTTTCCTGTATGGATTGAGTCGTTCTGCCATTTTCTACTCTTTCCGTGACTTCTGCAAGATCATCTTGAACGTTTTCTTCACGAAAATTGCTTTCGTCAGGATTTTCCAACCTGTCGTGTTGTTCATCTTCTTTATTTTCATCACCACTGAAATTTTCATGGGTGGCACTCATGTCTACGTTTGTGTGGAAAAATAAATGCGACTTGAAAAATGGAAAAATAGCGTTCTTGGATGTTGGAATTTACTTAAATTTTGCATCGATAAAACATTATTATAAATACTGTGTCGCAAATTTGCGTTTGAAAATCCTACTTCAAATGATGGCAAAATGTTTTTATAACACACATATATCTATAGCAATCATGCTAAATCACTAAAATGTTTGTGTATACTTTATTTATATATAATTGTATTTTTAAATCTCATGATTGCGCCAGACTTCCACTCTTCAACTGGGTGAAATATTTGTTATAAAACAAAATGAATAATTATCCACAAATAAAAAAGAATGAATAAAAAATTACATTTATGCTATACATTGACATGTATACTTACTTCAATCTTGTCATGAAGTCGTTGCGAAGCGTGGTTTGGTTTTGATGCCTTGTGTCACTCGTTGTTGCTTGCTCTATTGTGACTTTTGTGTCCCTGTGTGTGTATATGACCCTTGCTCCGTTGACTCAATATATATGACGTAATGATCACATGTACAAGGTTTTATGTATTAATTTTGTTATATAAAGCCCGCCGCACAGTGGTGAGCTTGCCGCGCGTACTTGTTATTCGTGACAGTTCCCAGTGTGCGTGGAAGTTTTGAACAACATTTGTTATTCGTGACAGATGAGTCAAATATCAAATTAGTTTGATATTTTTTGTCACGAGTGACAAAAAATCCTCGTGTGCGGAGAACAAGCAGCAAGTGCGCTGTAAGGCCCGGCTCAAACGTCGCATTTTACATGCGCCGAATCAAATCTGAGTTTTAGTCGACTAAAATAGTTTTATGCGTAGTTTGATTCAGACGTCGAATTTAATAGTCGCATTTATTATAGTTACGCTTCCACTTTTTCATAGTTTATTCATTTTCTTGTACTAATTTCCTAAAATGGCGAACAGGAAAATGTTGAGTTAATGCATTTCAACTATAATTCGTGTTAATAGGAAAAGACGAATGTTGATGCATGTTACAGCAAATAAACTATTAGAAACGAGACGGCAGCTTCTGCAAATTTCCCATGTTTTTCTACGGTTAATTGGTCTAAAAAATGCCTTCATACGTAGCCCTCCTTATTGATCATGTCGAAGACAAGATAGAAATTCCGGCTGGTGGAAGAAAGTTTGGAGTATTTATTCTGATCTTTGATTAAAAAAAAACATTTCGTGTATCTCGAGGAAACTTTCTTTTTATTTTAAGTCGTATTCGACCTATACTTCAAAAGCAAACTGTCACAGAGTAACCTATTTCTCCATTCCTCTTTAATTGCATCGTTTTTCTTTCATAGATACAAACGTTGAGCTGAACAAAGAGAACGTTGTAAGTAAAAAAACTTTCAACAGCCATATCTTCTACATAATTCACAGTTTTATAGATTACGCGCTCGAAATTTCAACTAGTTGATAATATTATGGAAATTGAGAGCGAATAATCTAATTATTTTAGAAGTCATACTGTAGTATTCATAAGAAAAAAGGTTGTTGAAGTTCTCCTTTATTTGTCGTTGTTTTATTCATACAGTTGTTGTGGTTGCCGTCTTTATTAAAAAGCGAACAACTCTTAGCTTGCTCAATGCATGTTTAGTTATTTTAAATGAATTTTTGTCTAATCTTAATGTCTTTTTCGTTTATACATTACATTAACCTGGGTAATATACCGTAAATGCTCGCTTTAGCGCCGCGGCGATTATTTAATTTTTCCGATTTTGAATGCGGCGCTTATGCGAGAGCGGCGTTTAAGTGGGAGCGGCGCTTATTAAATATTTTTATTGCCCCAAGAAAATAACGAGTAGACAAAAGCTATTTTCATTATATCATATTATACAATTTGTTGAAAATAATGTCGCATAGACGCAGAACAAGGTTTTCGTAAATTTTAAAGTTTAATAACTCAATATTTCTTCCAAGCTCAGCACTAAAATTACTCAAATACGGCGCTTAAGTTAACCGGCATCGGCGCTAAATAACTGTTCTGGATTCTGACTGCGGCGCTTAACCGAGGGCGGCGTTTAACCGGGAGCGGCGCTAAAGCGAGCAGTTACGGTAGTTTTCAAATGCTTTGATTTGATTGGCACTTACTTACTTCAAACCATAGAATAGAGAATATATAGAAGGGCAACTCGCGTCGGTAACCTTTGATGTAAGCGTGGCGCGCAGTTTGTTTCGCGCCTACCGGAAATGTGACGGCCGCCATTACTCTGGCCAGTAAAGTGTACAACATTTACTATGAAAATATATGGAGTGGAAGCCGTAAAGTGGGTTAAAATGTAGATTTTTTGAGCTGTTGGCTGTTTTTGGCATCTTTTTGAAAGAAATTGAAATAAAAAGGCAAGTATTTTGTATATATCATGTAACAAATGCATTTATTTAATATATTTATAGCGAAATTCAGTCGTAAAGCTTGAACAGGTTCTGAGGTTCACAAGTCCTGAGGACTTAAATGAACTTGGATGTATTACATGTTAAATATACTATTGTGATATAAAAAGCTTTTGTTTTCAATTTAGTTTTATAAAGGACAAAAAATTATATGCACAAAGCCCTCAAAGGTGTGTGACTTTAATGTACTTTCTGTCTTTCTTTTTAGTTGTTGCGAATATGCGGTTCGCAAATTTTATGGCGTAATAAATACGCATTCTTAGAAAAAGTTTCTGCAAGAACTCAAATGGGAATTCCGTACAGCAATCAAATTCCTTTGGTATGGACTTGACAGTGTCTAATATACTTCGACCAACACCTTCGCTCTTTGTGTAGACAGAAAACGTCTTAATGAATGTGTCTTCAAGTTTAATGATGTATTCAAGATAAGGAGAAGATGGTGATTGTAGTCCTCCTAAATCAGATTTCTTTTCATTGAATGCTTTAAAGTGGCAGAATAACTTTCTGCTATCATCCAGTTCTGTAGATGAAAGAGCATTGGTGCATTTCAGACAAGAGTGGAGTTTGAAACTCTTCATTAGAAGAAAACCAGACACATATGCAATGGCATTTCCCCTCATTATGTTAGTAACAACATTTGGCTCCTTGTAGTTAGTAGGACCAATTGCTAAAATTTGTGGTTGCGGAGGTGGAAAGACTTGAACCGTTTTCTTCTGGCTGACTTTATTCTTTGCAACATTTTTGGAATACTCAACCAGCATAGAATCAAGGTTGTTGTCACAATTTCCAGATGAACAGGTTAGAAGGGAACTGAAGAAAAGCTTTCTAAATGCTTGCATAAATTGGGTTGGAGTGGGGTTATCACTATTGCCTCCCTGGTGACGAATAGTACCAAAAATGGAAAATTTACAACTTTATAATCTCGGATCAAAAAGTTGCAGTAGAGACAAACACGTGAGAAAGATCCACAGCAAACCCAATATACAATGCTTTGGGCAATTTGAGAATTGAATAACATTGGAAACTTATTTTGATAAAGACATTTCTAAGTGAAAAATATGTACAAAATAACAGCAATATAATAAATATCATATTTTCTTAATGGTTACAAGGCTAAAAACATGTCTTTGTCATTAAAGATTTACATGGTGCACAAAAATCTTTAACACAAAACAATTTAAATTTAGAATGTGTGCATTTCATGCAATAGAATATACAGAATAAAATACAGCAACTCAGTACACATATTTGCATTTAAAAAATTTAATGACAACTTTATTCAGAGATGGATATAAGATAGGGGTGTGCAGTCCTCCTAGCTTAAGCTAGATGGGGGTGCAGAAGAAATGCTAATTTCTCTATAAATATTGGTATACTAAACAATTAAGCTGAAGAAATTGTGATCAATGTTAAATAGAGCACCCTTACAAAAACCACCCAATCATAATAAAAACGTAATAGAATTTAACAAACAAAGTTTAACATGTTACAGCAACAAGTAGCATGTTTTAATATATTCTTTTAAATTGTCGGCTAGTCATGGTTTTATCCCTTTACCTCCATTGCTTGGGTGGCTTGCGCGGGAAATTTAAAAAGCGAAAATATAAGCATAAACAACAAGAGACAAAGAGATAAATTTCGGGCACAATAATGACAGTGTGGAAATACACTTTGTGATAATGTATGAAATCAATATTTCTGCACGTAGCATTCCAGTGGAATACTTCATGTTAAGAACGGTGAAGGACTTTGGAGTTTCTTGAGGGATAATTGATATCCAGGATGCGAAGAAAGACGATTTGTATTTCAATATGTAAATTCTTCACGATTACTTCGTTGTCTACAATAATAGAAATACAAAGAGATGAAACTGATATTTCAATTATGGAACTTGACTAACAATCACAAACTTAAAAAACTAAAAATGAACAATTTAGTCATTTTACGCATTCAAACGAAAATTGTACGTAAGAAAACGCACCTTGTTGTCGTTGAAACTCGTCTGTTTCAGCTGTCAACTACGAACAACGATTTCTTCGTGAACGACGAAAGAGAATTGTTCAACGCGTTTTTATAATCCACAAATTTAAATATTTTACACTCAGGAGAGCGCATTCCACCCCGTATCGACATTTCACATAACTCTTTTAACATAGCCATTCTTTCTGGGTCTAAAATGAATGGAAATGCAATAAACTGTCGCATGAAAAAAAATGAAAAACGAACGAACAGGATTCGTGAACGTACTGTCTGAGTTTTGACGATTCCATCGCGTCATCCAGAATCCGTGAAGTTGAATGTCTTTGAAAATGAAGGCACTCTGAATAACAAAAAAACGTGAAGATGAAAGACATGTATGCGATTTTGAACTTAAGAGTATCGTTACATGTTTATGGATGTTGTTCGTCAAGTTTAGTAAAGTCCTGAGACAGACTTAAAGTGTCAGTACTGACATTGATCTAAAATACATGGAACCTGAAGCAAATAATTGAAGTCAAATCTTACACCCAGACACGCGAGATTTTACCCCAGACACGCGAAATTTTACACCAGACACGCGTGTGTAGTGTGTGGAGAGCAAATGTCAAACTCTCTGTAATTTTTTGACAACGTCAGTCAATATAAACACCAACAGTCCTCCTTAGGTCTACACTAACCTGGACGCTCTACATCCACAAACATTCACAGTCTTGTAGAACGGTTTGAACGACGCCACAAAAAGGCGATGCGCTGTTAGACAGCAAATCTATCAACTTTTACAATGTCTATTTCATTCAATTGAAAATACATCCTCATGTTTACAAAGCTGATATTTTAAATGTACAACAAACCGTGGAAACAGCAACAGGTTTTTTCGACATCCCACCGTACGTGACCATAGAACCAGATTCGCTGCAAATATAAAAATGACAATTAACTGAAATTCTTTCTCGTAAGTTTTATAAAAATACTGAAACAGCTATATCCTCACCTTAAATATCAAAGCAACTGCAAGGAACTTTTACCACCAACACAGTTCAACGCAAGTCTGGATGGTTTATGTTTCTAAAGAGAATCCATTAAGAAAATAAAAGATGTTTACTGTGTTTGCACAAGCTTATGCAAACCGAGGAGACCTTTGGGTGAACTCAAGAGCAAATCAGAGCAAGCCCGAGACCGAAGGTCCAGAATTCTCACAAACAACTCCGAGGTTCGCATAAGCCAGTGGAAACACGAAAAACACCTTTTATTTCTTTTATAAAATAACAATAATGCAAGACAGACAAATTTAAAACAAATTTTTTAAGTTTTCCTTTAACATTTGTTCATGATTGATTTACAAATTCTCTTTGATCGATTTAATTGATTAAGCTCAGATCGGTTTAAACAAGTTAATGCAAACACAGGCTATAGACCAATCAGTGTACACATTTCATAATTATTATTTTATAATACACATTGTCATAAAATCATCATTTTTATATCTTGAATGACAAAATGGTTTTACTATAATTAGATTTTGCTCGTACCTTTAAAACATCCTTTATTTTATCAACATTTTGAAATTCTTCTTCAGTAAATACGTAGTTTGCTCCAAGGTTCATCTTCTTCAGTAAATACGTAGCTTGCTCCAAGGTTCATTATCTTCAGTAAATACGTAGTTTGCTCCAAGGTTCATCTTCTTCAGTAAATACGTAGCTTGCTCCAAGGTTCATTATCTTCAGTAAATACGTAGCTTGCTCCAAGGTTCATCTTCTTCAGTAAATACGTAGCTTGCTCCAAGGTTCATTATCTTCAGTAAATACGTAGCTTGCTCCAAGGTTCATCTTCTTCAGTAAATACGTAGCTTGCTCCAAGGTTCATCTTCTTCAGTAAATACGTAGCTTGCTCCAAGGTTCATTATCTTCAGTAAATACGTAGCTTGCTCCAAGGTTCATCTTCTTCAGTAAATACGTAGCTTGCTCCAAGGTTCATCTTCTTCAGTAAATACGTAGCTTGCTCCAAGGTTCATCTTCTTCAGTAAATACGTAGCTTACTCCAAGGTTCATCTTCTTCAGTAAATACGTAGCTTACTCCAAGGTTCCTCTTCTTCAGTAAATACGTAGCTTGCTACAAGGTTCATCTTCTTCAGTAAATACGTAGCTTGCTCCAAGGTTCATCTTCTTCAGTAAATACGTAGTTTGCTCCAAGGTTCATCAGAGTTTCCTTCAGCTCATCAATGTTCTCATGATCTCTGACAACATTCAACGAAACCAGCCCCCAAGCTGCAGCCAACTGTATCACAGACAGACCAACCCCGCTATTGGCTCCATTTTGAAACACAACATCACCTATTGGTTGATAGATGAAAGCCAATGATTGGTCGAACACCAAACCAATTCACATATTGTACACATGCATGGTTTGTGTAAAACAATTCTACATTTAAAAGCCTTGCAGTTGGAGATATTGTGAAAGAGATTTCAGATATACACCTTCTTGCAATGGTTGAAAATCTTTCAACATTCTGTAAGCTGTACAGGGATTTATAGACAACATGGCTGCATCTTTCATAGAAAGACCATTTTTTACTGGAATTTTGATGCAATCATCCTCTTTCAATATCTTCATCTCCATCCAACTACCTTTGCAAATTTGTATCAAAAAGACAATAAAACTATTTGCTGAAAAAGTCTAACCAAGTTAACTCATATGATTGGCTAATACCAAGTCCTGCATTTCCCATTAATACCCAGTCTCCAACACGGACAGACTTCACATCATCACCAACTGCCAACACTTCCCCAACACCCTCATTACCACCAACTGCAGGGAGGGAAGGTTTGATGGGATACAATCCTAAAAAAAAGTGACGGACTATGAATTTCAAGGGGGGGAAGGCATGCATATAATGGTATCAATTGCACTCCCCACCTTGAAGCACATTCAGATCAGCTGGATTGACAGGTGAAGCCAACATTTTTAGAAAAACACTTTCTCTGTTGAATTCTGGTAGGGATAATCCTGTAGACTACAAAATCAAAGTAGAAATCAGTGGCAGATCCAGATGAGGGTTGCAGTATGTTCACAGACAGAGACAGCCTCTCCAGAACTTGTATAATTTATTGATAATTTCGTAGAAGCACTTTTGCTAATGCGCAGTTAATATACACGACGAGTTTTTTTAAAATAGACATGTTTCCACATCTCATGATGCCATCTTCAGTATAAGTGAAATAATAAACAATACAAGGTTTATATAAAAGTAATATGGTACATAAATTACAACAATAATAAGGAAATAAGATAAATTAATGGGGAGCGTCCGAGCGTATTATAAAGTAAATATTGTATTGAATTTAAAAACTTGAACATTGACGTCACGGTTAGTTTTGTTAATGTGGAGTGCTTCTTTAAATTTGATAATAAAATTGACATGCATGTGTAGGAGCTAGCACTAAATCTTTGCATGAATTGCCATGTGTAAAATCGTCGGCACTGACTACAGAACAACTCAACCACTTTCAAGGTAAAATTCACAGTTCACAGGAATATTTTTACCTGATAACCTTACTTGGGTCGCCATATTCTGAATAAACTAAAGCTTTAGAAGACCGAGGTATACTTTCAGACGTGATCGAAAATGTCCTCGACAATTTTACAGCTTTGCTTGAAGTCAGAAACCTGAAGAGAACGCGTTCAGTCCAGTCTGCTATGGTCGTGGGCAGCGCCATTTTATATAATGGCATTCTGAAGGATGGGAAATAACGTCGTCCGGACAACGTTAATAACGTTGTTGTAGAGTTCACTGACCAAAACCTAATTTTAAATATTTACAATAAAAAGTCACTTCAAGATTAATTTTAAGCTATGAATTTTTGGATGGCTTTGAAAAGGGAACATAATGGAAAGTATTTCAGAGTACATCTTCATCGGTATTAATTTTAATTCGAGGCTCGAACAACAGTACAATTACTACAATACTGAATGATATCTATATAATTCTGAGTCTGAACTTCTACATTATAAGATAATTATAAGATTGGAAAATATTTCATGGTAAGCTAAAGCTCGCATATTAAAAAAGCTCATTTGAACCAAAAGCTCATATGAAGCAAAAGTTCGCATATTGCAATATAGCTCGTGTGAATCTTTAACTCGTATGGACCAACAGCTTGCATTCTTTGAGTAACAAGTGAAAAATTTTTCCGTATTATTTTTTAGACGAGGACGAACAAGATGGTCAGCAATCGTCAAAATGTTTGAATGAAACGGAGGAGGAAATGCCTCAAGAAACAGTTGAAGAAAACCAAAGAACAAGACAGCATTAGACTACATAGTACGCCATTGAACGTTGAAAGAGTGAGTAATGATTTTTTATATGGTTAAATGATGGAGTTGATTTGCAGTGTTGCACTCCCCTCGTCTTGTAAAGTACGGGCATGCGCTTAAAGAGGAGATGCCTAATTATGGTGTTGTTGATAGTGTAGACTCAGATTCAGAAAATTTTCAACAGGCAACAGCAGTTCTTCTGCAAGAAGGTATGAAGAAATTAATAGGTACATACATGCTGCTAAACACTCATAAATGCATCATAATTGCAGCATTTATCTAAATTATTTTCAAAAGAAACGAGTTGTAAATGATTTGATATAGTTTTGTTGTTTTAACTGGCAATATGCTCCTGCAGCACAATTTGGTCTCAATATGAACAAAGTTGAACATGCTTATTGTGATTTTTGCATGTTGTACTTATGTGTAGAAGTTGTGATATTGGTAAGCTTAGTCTAGCAAATACTTGCTGGGTTGTATTGCTACAATAATCATTTGACTGGTTTTCTATTTAAGAACAAAAGAAAACAGTCATTGAAGAGTATAGAGATGCTACAATTGTCAGTGACAGTCCAGTTTTTCAAGTTTATTTCAACCGCATGGCAAGTGACTTTGCCAATGACATTTTGGGAATTTACAAGAATCACAGTAGTAAGTTGTGTGCTCGGTTCATTGTAAAGTTTGAAAACGAAACTTCAGTTGGCAGTGGTCCCATGCAAGAATTTTTCAGCCTAGTAATGAAAATGATTCTTGATGGTTTTCCACTGGATGGTGAAAAAAGGCCCAAAACTTTTGTTTTCGAAGGAGTAAATGACCATAAAGTTCCTGTAGCCAACTCACTTTTGAGAAGTACAGGCTTCTATAAGTGCATTGGAAGAATTATTGCACATTCTTTCCTACATGCTGGATCACCACTATTTGGAATTTCTAAAGTAGTTGTTGATTATTTGGTATGTGACAAAGATGAGACTCCTTTAATAGAAGTTGTGGATATACCTGACATTGACCCGAGGATTGCATTGAATGAGGTTTGAAAAGTTGTATTGCACCTGAGCATT